TCGAGATTAACTACAAGATCCACAACAAAGAGCTTCTTGCAATTGTGGATTTTTTTTAAGAATGGCATCATTATTTAGAAGGCGTTTTTAATCCAGTCATCATTTATACTTATCACAAGAATCTTGAATATTTCATATCAACACAAGTTTTGATTTATTGCCAAGCCAGTTGAAGCATGTTTTTATCAAGATTTGATTTCAAGATTACATATCAACTTTGAAAACAACAAGGTTTGTTAGACATCCTTTCTAGACATTGTTATCTTGTACCAAAAGAAAGAGATGCATCTTTTGATCAATAAAGAACAATTCTCTTGAAGCTTGAATATTTTCATCTTCGAATAATGAAATCAACATTAAATGTTGATTCACCCTTTGTCAAACAAATTCAATTAAGTATGTCTTTTAATCCTCTTGTTTATGATATTAAGAATCTTTCTTGTAAGTTTTATGATGCTTCTAAATTTGAATTTTAAAAAAACCTACTTTATTTCAAAGGATGCCTATATGTTCCAAAAGAAAAAGTACGTTTATATATTTTTCAAGCATGCCACAATTTTCCAATAGTTAGACATTTTGAATACAACAAGACTTTAGAATTGATATCTAGAGATTTTTAGTAGCCATAAATGTGGAAGGCAATGAAAGATATTTTTTAATCATGTTATTTTTGCTCAAGGTCAAAAACTCTCCGTCATCAAACTTACGGACTTCTTCAGCCATTATGTATTTCAAAACAACTATAGTCTTCTATTTCTATAGAATTTATCATAGATCTTTTGTCTCAAGTTTGTATAATTCTATATTTATCATAATATATTATTTTACAAAGATGGTACATTTTGTACCTTGTACAAAATCTATCACAGGTAAAGAAACAACCAAGCTTTTCTTTGATAATATCTATTGATACCATGGATTGTCAAAGGATATTATATCAGATAGAGAGACTCAATTTGTATCAAGATTTTAGAAAATCCTTTTTAAGATTCTAAAGTTGGTTATAAAGCTATCTTCACCTTTTTATTCTCAAATTGATGGATAGACAAAGAGTATAAAATAAGTTTTGGAGCAATATTTAAAGTGTATGATTAATTATCAACAATACAATTGAAAAACTCTTTTACCATTGGTAAAGTTTGCTTATAATAATATAGTGTATTCTTCTACGTAATAAATACTTTTTTTTTGCCAATTATAGTTATCATCCATAATTTAATATTTTTGATTTTTTAATAGTTGATAATCTTGTGGTAGAAGATTTGGCAAATTGTTTGTCAAAGCTATATGTAACAATGAAGGTGCAATTAAAGGGAATTGAAGAACAATAAAAAATTAATATAAATATCTATTGCAAGGAATAACCACTATTCAATATAGATGATAAGGTGTGATTACTTTGTTACAATATCAAGACTACTCATCCTTGTTATAAGTTCGATTATCATAGGCTTGGACCTTTTTCTATTAATGAACAAATCAATCTTCTTATTTATTGATTATATCTACCAAAATTTATGAAAATCTACCTCATATTTCATGTGTCTCTTTTTAAGCCATATAAGATAGTAAATATCTTGAGAAGATGACAAATGCTACCTCCTCTTATAGAAGTAGATAATAATCAAGAGTTTTAGATGGAAGAAGTCTTAGATTCAAGGCAGTGCCAAAATAGGTTGGAATATCTTATTCATTAGCATGGATATGATATTAGTGAATGCACATGGAAGCTAGTAAAGAATCTTATATATACAGCCAATAAAGTTGAAGCTTTTCATCAATGACATCGATCAAAATCAAGATAAAGACCTTCTTTATAAAAGAAACAAGATCTAAACAAGATAATATTCTACTTTATATTCTTGTTGTAGCTTCTTTATATTTGTGATACTAAAGAGATTGAAAACCTACAATTAGTGGATTTGACTCATGAGCCTTTATTTGCTGACTTGTCGGATGAAACATTGCAATTTTCACAACCTTGAAGAGGACACAATCGATATAAAGATCCTTAAAAATGACATGTTCTTCCTTGAATAGATGAAAAAATACAATGCGTTTAATTTCACAACTTTAAAAGGAACTTCCAATGTTTGGTGAATTTACTAGAGGTAGGAACAACTCCTGATGGTGTTTTAAATATTTCATTTGAAAGAAGTTATGAAGGCTTCAACAATGATAAAACAAATAGATGGTCTTCTGGCCCTTATATGGGACACTATCAATGGTTGAAAGACCCTATTAGCCATCTTCAAAGTGAACAAAGATCAAAGTATGTGGCGAATATAATTTGCTGCATCTTAGATTTTCTCAATATATGATGACCGCTTTTTGTAGAACTTATCTCTAGAAAGAAGGTAGTATCATGGACATACACATGTAAACCAATAATTACCTATATGATTAGATAGAAGTAGGTAAAAATAGATTAATTCCATAATATCTTTTATAGAAGCTTTCTAAAAGCTTCATAGATGCTGTTTTGACTTTATAAGTGTCTATAATTGATTTTTTATATTAAAAATCTGGTCAATAAATTAGCCATGTACCACACATGTTGATAGCTTGAAGAACAAGCTAACTATGTAGTGCACACATAGAAAACTTACCTTGTAAGTTAAGGCATATATTCTGGAAAGTCAACACATATTAGAGGTCTCATAGAACATCACCATATAGATTTTAGTTAGATAATATATATAGAGGCAAGAGTGAAGCCTTGTTCACTCTTGTCAACTTCTTTCTTGCTTCTAGTCTAGATTCAAGAGTCTCTAGTTTCTTTGTCTTTTGGCAATAGCCATCCTATTTTCCTTTTAGTACACATACTTCTTTATTTCCATTTTGTTATACTTGTTTAATTTTTTTTATCAAGTTCTTATCCTTGACAAAGCTCACATTGCAAGCTATAATTTATACAACATGTACAATATGGATGAAATAAGATTATTTTATAATATAGTGCCAAATTAAATTGTTGCTTAATAACAAATCATTGGCTATAAGAAAGAAAATGTAAAGGTTATCCTTGCATTCATAGCAAATATCAATAGAATTGATAAATTATTATTTTATTTTATTTTATTTTTTTTAATTGGTCGTGCCTACAAGTTCCATTGCTTTAACAAAATAAAATAGTTGGATTTTTATTATTGTTCCAACAAGAAAGCATGGATGATCTAGGTTTTTTTTTTTCAAGAATGGCTGAAAAAATTCAATGAAGAGATTGGAAGGGTGTATTGGAAAATCCTTCTTCTTATGGATAATGCACCACTGTAGATTACAAACAACTAAGTTTTTTTTACTAATGTTGATATCTATGTACTTCTTCTAAATACCAGTTTGAAAATTCAACCAATAGATATTAGAATTATTGCAACATTTAAGTGGCACTGTTGATGATTTGTCAAATGTTCTTAATCGGAATAAGCAAAATAAGTTCAACCTATACAAGATCAATAAATTGACAATAATGTACTTGTCACTTGCAACTTAGGCAAAATTATTTCCAATTATAATATAAAATTACTTCATGCATATTGAGTTATTTGAATAGATATCTGAAATTGCAAAAATTAAAAATGGTGAAGAAACAATAAAAGATGAGTTGGTAGGCATAATTTAGGATCTTCCATTATAGAATCTAATGTCAACTGAGGATTTGCTTAACTCAATTAAAGAAAACGATGTACATATCAAGCTAGATGATCAATAAGATTCTTGAGCTTGTTCATCATTAACAAATAGAGAGAGGTGAAGGTACTAACAACATTCTTAAGGAAGACACAACAGTAGTGTCGTTTACATGCATAGAGAATTGCGGAGCCTTCCCATTGTTATTTCCATGTTGGACGTTGGAGATATGGATTAATACACTATCGACAAGACTCTTTGCAATATTCAACAGAAGTTGAATATAAAAAGGCCTCCAACAAAGCATGCTTGATTCTTATCTAAGCTAGATTTCCTATTATTTTTTCTATCCACAAAGTCATATTCTTCTATCAAGGTCATAACTAATAACTTACAAGAATTATAACTTTATTACTGTAGAACCATGTAAATTCTTCCATTTTTTTTTACTTTATCATGGATTATAACTTATTAAGAGATAAATTAGCAAAGGTAATATTCTATTTATATTCATATGTATGTATGTTAAAATTTAAATCAAACTAAATATTTATAGTTTTCTATTCTCTATCAAGTTTGATCTCTATTAAATGTGGATTTATGACCCCTTTTAATTTATAGTAAAAAATTCACATATATTTCACTAAAAATTATTCTAATTTATTGTTGTCTAAAAATAACAACATATAAACACTCAAATCAATATCTTCACATTCAATGATTGCACAACAACAAAATTTATATATATATATATATATATATATATACTTACTCAAAAAAAAATATATATATATATATATATATATATATACTTACTCAAAAAATATGTATATATATATATACTTACTCAATATATATATATATATATATATATACTTACTCAAAATAATAAATTAAACTTAAATAAAGCAATTTTTAGACACGGTATATGGCAATTTTTAAGTCGAACTTAAGGTTGCACCAAATGATCTCCATAAACCCCATATAAAACTTTTTTGTGTCATTAATCAAGTATCTGGACCAACAGTTTTTTTACACAAAATATATCAACTTTGGGAGAAAGTCTAACTTTAATACACTTTCCTTCCAAATAACAACTTTAGTTGAATTCAGTTATCATGGTGGTCATCTTTCAAAAAAGAAATTACTCCACATCAGCGTCTATTTCTTTTACAATTTAATATCCAGGCCATACTAAATGGTAACACAAATTCACCTCACAAGGCGTCCCCTCCACGTCGTCGTTTTTCCAGCTGTCGAATTTGCTGACTCAGCCCACCGAACTACCACGTGGCAGAGGATTCTATCCACGTGGCATCGGAGGAAAAATCCATTTGGCGACGCGACAGTGTGAAAAAGGGATGGAGGGTCCCATGAGCGGGACAGATGCCGTCTTCTCTCCCGCTGTCGTGTTTTGTTTCAAATTGACGTCCTTATGGTTGATCCATTATCTCAATTGTGAGCCAATACATTGTTTGCATCGACCGGTGTAGTGATTTCAGGTAAATGCGAATGAGATCTCGTGCGATCGAGTTGCTCTAGTTTTTGTTGTTCTCATCTTGCTCACTGACTATATGCAAGTGCCAACTCGTGGGTGTGTGTGTGCGCGTGTGTGAGTGCGTGTGTGTTTGTGTGCTTGTGAGTATGATAGTTCTTTAAGTTTTTGCTTTTTTCTTTTCTTTTCATGGATTGTGGCGTTAGTTGAGCAAAAAACTGCGTAATCATGTACGTATGATTAATGCGTGCGTTGGATTTTGCTACAGATAATTCGAGAGACCTTGTGCTGCGATTTTACTTGTCGGAGAGGGTGTGTTTAAGTTGCAAGAAAGTCTAAAAAGAGATAGAATGGCTGATGTTGAAGGTGCCAAAGCTAAGGCTCACCAGGATGCCGAGGTATAACTCTACACTACCCCTTCAACTTTCTGAATTCGTGGTAGGTGGATTTTTTGAAAACGTGGTCGCCGTCAACCGAATATTGTAGTGAATTCTAGTATTTTGAATTGGTGAAGCAATTTAACCGAGCTTTTGTGTCATCGGGATCTTGAGAGTGACGATTGTTCGTGAATATGCAGAGTATTTTGAAATCGGCTGACAGGAAAGTCGACGAAGCACTTGCTGGCTCTGATTATGAGCAAGGTGCGAAGACTAATGCCGATAGTGATGCCACCGTAGGCGACAAAGCATCAAATGCTGGCGAGCAGATGAAAGAATCAACAGGCTCTGCATGGGAATCCACCAAGCAGAAAACTTCTGATGCTATTGAAACCACCAAACAAAAAGCTTCTGATGCCATGGGAACCACCAAGGAGAAAGCTCCTGAGGCTAAGGATGAAGGTGGAAGTCTGTTCCAGACGGTGCGTAATCTGGCTCTTCAAAAAACTTGTTTTTCTTGTTTGACATGGTCTTTCTACAGATAGTTTGTTGACATCGATGAGTTCAAATTCACATTGAAATAGGTAAGAAACCACCATCATCTATGTATTGAGTGATACTAGGACATCTGCTTTTGCAACGCAGGCGGGGGAGAAGGTGAAAGCGGCAGCGTCATCGGCCTACGACTCCGTAGATAAGGCCAACCGTTATGAAACGTACCAAGCAAAAGAGTAGGCACACTACTCGGAAGGGATGGTTGTGCATCGTGTAGTTGTGCCCTGTTACGACTAAGTACACCAGCAATGTGTGTGTAAATTTTAAGTATATAGATTCACTATTTAAACTTGGATTCACGTTCTATAATAAAATCTGTCTGCGATATTTGGAAGATCTGTAAAAATCTTTTGAAGAAAAAAAATATATATATATATATATATATATATTAATCTACTCTTGGTGCATGTCACATACATTTAGTTTTGTATGTTTGTACAGTTGTGTGTGTTAAATGTTGTGTTTATTCTTTTCTTTATACTGAAACACAGCATAACAAAATGATATATAACATCAAATAAAAATGACAAAAAGCTCTGCAGCCACATTGATAAATGCAAGGCTTCAGGGTATATTCTCGTACCTGGAGTAGTGGACGAGCTTGTGGAAGCTGAATTCAGAACTCCTCGGACGCATTTATCAAACCCGCGATCCAGAAAGCGATGATCCCAAAGAGTTTCGATCAACCAAAATCACCTGCGCTCACATGCCGCAGAGTCCTCAAAGTCATCGGCACGAATGCTTCTCGTGGTCGGATGGGACTGATGATCTATCCACGCCATGCATTCTATCTGGTAAATGATTCACGGCTATCAACCGCTCGAAATCAGCGGCTTATCGTCCGAGAAATAATTGCAAATATTTGACCCTTGTCATGAGCTTACATTCTGAGAACATGTTTCTGCGTCCAACTTCGTCCGAGACTAGCTCAGGGGTGCCCTGTTATATCGCATTCTATGGATCAATCGATTCAAAACCCTGGCTAGAGATGAAACTCAAATCCGTGATAGAACTGGAAAAAAACATTATCCACAACATAGGAATTTTCCAACTCGGCGCCTTTGTGACGCTCAATTGCTAAAGCTAACCATTAGTAAGAGGCAGGAAGAATGGCAAGCAAAGAGAAAAATAATGAAAAAAATTCCTTCAAGGTCTTCAGTCTGGAGCTCTCGAGCTCTCCTCGAAGGGATGAAGTCATCGCCACGAATTCGTCGGAGTGGGCATCCAGCAGCAAGTGCTCTAGATGACGTCAGCGAGTTTTTCGTCTTTTTCGATGAACTGATTGTGCTAGAAAATTCGTTGTCATGGTGATAGCCCTAAGCGCGAGTTTGGCTGCGTGAATTGATTCGGGACTCCAAATTTACTAGCTACACTCTGGCGAAGACGAAATCATTGTGATTGCTTTCTTGTCACTGTAAGCTGAGGTGAAGAGATTTTTCAGTAAGCGAAGGAGTTTTGAGATTGTTAGTAGAATGGGGACGATGATGCAGCAAATACAATTGCAGAGACAGACATGGATGAGGTCGCATAGGTGGTGCAATACTCCAGCGCCGCTTGGAGGGAGTTCCTTGGCGGTGTTCCTTCTGCCATGCCCACGCAGCAGTCCCTCCTCTCTTTCCATCAGAGCTTGTTCATCTTCGCCTTCTAATAATTCTCCCTCTTCTTCCCCTGCTCTTGGGTTGCCCTGGCTGATTGTTGGGTTGGGAAACCCGGGCTCCAAGTTCGTGGGTACTCGCCATAATGTGAGTCTTTTTGTTTAACTTTTTATCTTAATTTTGATGAAAGACTCTTGTCTCGAATTTGCGGGGGAGAAATGGATTGAAGTTTTAGGGTTTAGACTTCAAGGTCCCCTTTCTAAATTATTCAAGTGTAGTTGCTTATTAGGGTGACTGGGTGTTTCTATATAGATTGGGTTTGAATTGATTGATGCTATTGCGGAAGCGGAGAATATCCCGCTACGGACAATTCAACAAAGATCACTGCTGGGAAAGGGTAGGAGATTCTGCCAAGTCTTAGCATTTCCATTTCTCCTTCTTGCTAGGTAGCAGTGTAATAATGATCGGATATGTCGGGAAAAAGGGCTTCGTTGCCGAAGTTGGATGCCATTTTTTGTGGAGTTGAATGTTTAAGCACTTTCTAGTAGTTGATAATTGATTGGGTACTGTGGATTATGATTCACTCGCAGTCCATAATCTCAATTCCATGGTTCACCAAAGTATAATTGTCTTCAACCGCATTGATATAAGGCAAGATTAAAAAAATTAAAAACAATTTTTCCACTGATTAAGTCATTTTGCTTCCGCTGTTGCAAGCTTGTGCGTGCAGGATTTATTGGACCTACACCGGTGCTTCTTGCTAAGCCCCATACTTACATGAATTTAAGTGGAGAATCCGTAAGTTTTTCTGCTTTTAATATCGAAAGGTTACAGTTGCTTTTCAAAGGTATGATGATTAGCTGTACGTCGAAATTTCGGAGGCAAGTAGCTGTGCATGAAGCTTGGGTCTGTCCTCATATTTGCCTAGCGTACGTATGAACGGCATGTGCTCGTATGTTGTGGTTGCATATCCTGTAGTTAGAGATGCGCACTTCATAAAATGTTTGACAACATTTGTTTGTTTGTCTTTTTTTCTCTCGCATCAGGTGGGACCAATTTCGACTTACTACAAGATACCTCGAGAGCGTGTACTCGCGGTATGGTTTTACTTAGCTATGGATAGGCTTCGTGAATTGCTCTATCTTGGCTAGTAATGAGAATCTTATGTTTTAAACTTTGTTATTAGTTGCCTGAAGTCGTTTTGGTGTATTTCCATACATCTCACTTTTTTATATCTAGCTTACTTTAGTAAGTTGCTGCGCTAGATTTACGATGATTTGGAACTTGAGTTTGCTATGTTACGGATACTGCCAAGAGGAGGCCATGGAGGTCACAACGGGTATGCATTCATGAATTCGATGCTGTGACATGTATAACATGATTGATTTATTTGTAGAGGGTGTTGACGGTTTCATCAACACCTCCAATCTTAGTGTGATGGTACATTGTTTATACAGTCTCAACTTGTGAGGTGGTTGAATTTATTCCTTACATTCATCTTTGATTCAGTGCTGAATTTCGACCTAAAGATGATTAAATCCATCTTGTGTTCAATGACTCTAAGCTTTGAGGTGGTGACTCACAATCTGCTGCAGGATGAGGAGCTTGATAGAGCACTTTGGAGGGAAACAAGACTTCCCTCGATTGCGATTTGGTATGGCTTTAGTGGCAAGACCCCTCGTCCTTTATGCACTGCTTCTTTCCTTCGTAGCTTAATGCTGATGAAATTCCTATCGAAATAAACAGTCTGAGTCAATCAGACTGCGAAATAATAGCTTGATCTTTAAAAGAGTGGGGGTTTAACTGTTTGTTTCATACAGGTGTCGGGAGGCCTGAATGTAACATGGATCCAAGCGCGTACGTGCTGCAAAAATTCAATCCCCGGGAAAGGAAAGAAGTGAGTCACTCTTACGATTTGACAAATGTTGTTCCCAATAATGTCTCTACGTTGTTCCATGTTAACTTCGTTATATCTTAGATTATGATAAATTTAAGTGGCTTGGGTGGATTGTTCAGTTGGATGAAGTGCTACAACGAGGAGTAGAAGGAGTGAGACTTTTAATGACTGAAGGCCTTCAAAAAACTGTCACCACTTGGAATTTGCACAGGAAAAGCAGATTGGAAATGATCAAAGAACTAGAATAGGGTATATATACTGGTAGTCATATCTATTGTCTTTGTAGGGTTGCATTAGCAAAGATTTGCTCCTATTATCAGGTTCCGAGCATTGATGAGGTTGACTTTATGCGAAATATACATTTGTGAAATTCTTTTGTATTTCAATATCAATGGAATCGGTTCAGGTGATCTGTTTTTCTTTCAAATCTGTCAACGAGACGGACAACAGTGATTTAAGCGTTCGCCTCCAGGCTCGTCGCAAGATTTCGGCTACATTGCTCTTTATCTCTGCTCTCGAAGTCGTTGTGTGCCCCTTTTTGGGGCAGCTTTCATGCTAGCGACATTCTCCTACTTGCTTCTAAGAGTCCCATCTCTCTTTCTCCACTCTATGGTTCCAACATGGAAGATTACTCTTACTATCAATGCATCAGAAATAAATCTTTACTGATGCATCAAGTGGATTGTAGCCATAACATGAAAGCCTTCTAAAGAATGTTTTAGAATTATCTACCTACAGATTTATTTTCCACCTACCCATCCAGTTTTACTACCTGCGTAGCATGCCAGGGTGCTGAGGCTCGATGATGGGCTTGTTTGAGGATAAGCCATGAACAATATCCACATGTCCAGAAGAAACTGAAATCAGTTAAGAACCTCATTTCCAACGCTGACAAACTTATAAAAGCACTGAATCACTGAAGCTGTCATCGAAAGTAAGTTGGGTAACGAGATTATCAAAATTAGTGGCTAATGTGGGAATTCTCGTCATTAAATTAAACCACTTTATCCACTGCGCACACCACATACACAGCATTCTGGCTGTAACCAATACTAACAGAAGATTCATGCCCTGAATATGAGAATTACAGCATCTGAGCACTCCCACCATCCAAACAACCATAACTGCAATGAAGAAAGGAATCCTCTTACACATGCACTACGAAGTAACTCTCTACATCTGCTTTTTCGGATGGTTGAAACGATCGAATAGCACAAGCTTTGCTCCTGCATCAACACTCTGCACAGGACTGGTGCAACTTGATAAAAACTATCAGCTTTCCCAACATACTGAATCACTGTGAAGACTGAATAGAAGCCCAGTCCACCTCTATCGTGGACTTCAAAGTGTAGTCTAGGCAGAGGTCTAATTGAAGTGTAACAAGAATTTTGAACGTGCTAAACAATAATCATAATTCTAGGCTGGGTCTTCGGCTTCCGAAGGTATTGTCACCTTTAGCTCCGTGGAAGACGTGGATCCCTACTTGTCGGTAGCAGCCTGAAATCACTGACTTGATAACGATTTCCTAGGCTTTATCTAAACAGAGTGCCCTCTAAAAAGATTATTAACATAAGCCTCTATTTCATCTGGATTATGTTTGATGTACTTTCGCGAGGGCCTACCAGAACCAATGTATCTCCCATAGCGTCCAACAAAACCTCGATAAGCTGTAACCAACAACTCGGCGATGCGTGTAATCAATTCATCACGAAAATCACGGCTGAACAAAACCCATTGCGATTCCGTGCGGATAGCTTCATCGAAAGCAGCGTTGAAGTTCTTAAACCTGTCCTTCAAAACTGCAGAAGAAACTCTGCTAGACGTACCCGAACTTTGAAGCCCTTCATCCCTCAAAAATTCCAAGACCTTGCCCCAAGCAGTCCTTATGTAATTTATGACAAGGTGATGGAGCACACGCAAGTGTTGTCTAACCCAGTCATCTCCAACCAACGTTATAATCTCAGGCTCTCTCACCTTCTGATGAATATAATGCACGTTGTTCATCAAAAAGAAGATGCTCAATGCAGGATCCTTGTAGCTTTTGGATTTCGCCTCTAAATTGTTCCGAAGAATATGGATCAAACAGATGATTTGGACACCCAAGGGTGAATTCTCTTCTCTGCCCAAACTGAAATCGTCCACGTCCTCAGGCAACTTGGTATCATCCCCTGACAGCTTTAAAACCTGCTTTTTATCCTCAAAAAGTTGCTGCAGAGTGTCGGTATAACCAGACAATAATTTGATGTAGTTCATCACATACCGGTTGAGTATATGCACGTCCCCGTCACGATTAGGAAGCTTTGAAGCATCTCTCAGAATGGCATTCTCAAACTCACCGAAGGTACCTACTGCAGCTTCTCCTAAACGGCAAAGAATTTCTTCAGCCTCCGACCTGACACTTGCACCAGATGCTCCAGCGAACATGGCATCCAATTCTGGACGGACGTCTCGTAATACTTCGTACATATCGAGAACTCTAACTAGCTTCTCAGGAGACCGTCGACTAATAGCTATGGCATCCCCAAAGCTGAGAAGTTGCATCATCGCCGCTTTGCCGATGCCGTTGAAGATGTCTGCACTCAAAGGTAACGGAAATACCTGGATTTGCAAAAAAATGATATAAATTAGATTAAATCAAAAAGAGGAGGAAAACCCACATCATTCATAGCACTGAAATGGTATCAATTAGCGCACCTCATCACAAAGCTGCTTTTCACTGGAGAACAGCACCTTCACTCCCACGGTCACAGTATGATTCCAACTCCTGATCCTGGTTTCCTGAACCTCCCACTGCATCTTCTGCACTTCGTCAATTGTCACTCTTTCTACACCCAGTTCATGCAAGCTTTTCTCTAGAATGTCCTTCCTTTTTCTCACATATATATCTACGCACTCCCTTTGGAAGTCCCCGCTAGTCAAGCGTTTCGCGATGTCGGCAAGGTCTTCTGCCACTGCCGGAGGAACCAAAACTATCCTGGTTTCAATTTTATCCACTTGGTGAGCTGCAGGAACATCCTCGTCTTCATCGTTGTCACTGTCAGAGTTCTCTGTCTCTGGATCGACGACATGACTCACAGGAGCTCTAAAGTACCCGGACGCTCCAGAGACCAACAACGAATTCGAAGCTATACTTTTACTGTGCTTGTCCAGCATATATCGAAACTCTTCGATAAGTCTTTCAACGGCCAGGTTATATAAGTTTTGAGCTCGTTCCAAAGTCCCCGGGTCTCGTTTACAAACATTCATAGAATTCAATTGACTTATTATCTCATCTACTGCGTCCAGAAATTGTACGGAGTCTTTCTTGGAACCCTCAAAAATCCACTTCTGTCCACAATGTAGAGATCTGCTTCTGCCTGAATAACCATTATTCCATTGCGTTATCACATTCTGCGCCTCATCCAATGCCAAGTTGTTAGCTCTTGCGCGGGTATAACTCCGAGTTCTTGGTGGGTTGCTTCCAGGAGAAGGATACTCAACGTCCGAACTCTTTGAGCTTGATGGTTCCTGACCGACCTCCTCTTTCGCATTCATGCGCGAGAACCGATGATAGAACGTGGATAAAATATGCAGCATGTCATCTGTCCTAGTGTTCGTCGTTCCCAGAGCCCTCACTATATGCTGCGCTGTCGCCAGCATCCGAGCCTCCTCATCTGGAGCTGCCATAGCGGTGAACTCCACTTACCGACTCAACCAGTACGGATTATTTGACACTACAAATTCCTGAAAACCTGAATGCAGACGTTACCGACAAGGAAGATACGAAGTCTGAATCTGCCTTCCTCCGCAGCACAACTCAAGTCATGACACTTCAAGGATCCAAGCCATGATTACAGAGAAAAAGAATCGTTTACAAGCTTCCGCAGGCATCTCTGCTACTCGGAGACATGACAACCATCGCTACAACAACCTCTAGCACAACTCCTCCACATTCTGCACCGAAACTAACACCTCCAAATCACAAATTCTTCGCACTGCATCACAACCAATCGCTTCTCCTGCACCTCACGAGAGAAACACACTCATTATCCAACCTGCCCGCATGGGTGCACACAGCCTAAAACCCGCCCACCGACGAAAGCACCTTTACACTATCCATGCCCCACCCGAGGAATCAGTCAAGCACCGCCACATGCACAAAAGACCGGGGCTGTTTACGGCATCGCAAATTCGAACGCTCACGGGTGGAGCAGTACGGCCATGAATACTGCAGCATCTGGTGCGCAGCCTGCATTCCCTGCATGCTTCAAAGCCGTCCGGACAACAGGAACTATGTCACTTGCGAAGGCAATCTATCACACACGACCCCAACTTCCGAGAGCTCCACGAGGGAGAGATCAAGCACATGTGGCAGGAGGAACACACACAACACACACGTTCAGTCACTCATGCACTAACCAACTAACTTCCTTGCTGGCTAGCTCGCTCGTTGGTGGGGAGTTTTGTTATAGAGGGAGAGAGTGAATGTGTCGGTGGGGTGCCACAGGGTGGGGCTCTGGTGAAAGCGCGTTGCCGATGAATGATGCGACACTGATGCGGGTGGTGCTGCTGCTGCACCGTTGATCTCCTTCGCGGCACCATCGTGCTTCCCGAGTGGGTGTCTTTCTGAGTGAGTGGAGTGACAATATGAAAGGGTCAATTATACAATTGTAAATTCAAACATCAAAGTAGATGCAAACACTTGCAGCGCATGATTTGCAACATGAAAGCAAATCCAAACCCAATTCCAAGAATTTGTGTTTTTACACATGATGATGGTACTTCATTGAGTATTGTTGCTTTATTGCTTTCAGCAGGGTGCATAGCGCATTTAAATTGCCAAATTGGTAGCAATATGTAGCCAATTTTTACACCCAATCGATGGGAAGTTGCAAATAATGTACAACACACAATATACATCAGCAGCCACATTGTGTAAGGATATCTCTATAACTACACACAAAATAATTACATTTGTGTAACTATACACAAATGTAATCATACACACAGCTTTAGTGCCCCTTGCTACCCGAGCCAATGGGATTTTTTGAAACTACATAGAAATTCTCAAAGTCGATTTTTTTATATAAGTGGCATTCATTGTCATTTCTGCAAAGGGCCTTTAGGGCAATTTCATTGCAACTTCATGTACCCCTTACTGTGATTTAAATAAATAAATAAATAAATAAATAAATAAAACACACACACACACACACACACACACGCAGTATACCTTAGCAGTCAATCAGTGCCCAATATAGCAATTAAAAATAATAATAATAAAAATAATATACTTCAACAACTAAACAGTGGCCCTTTTTGCCCCAACTAATGTTTAAAGTTAAAAAAAAATTATATGAGTGCTATTCATTGTCACTTCTACATATGGCCTTCTATTACAACTTTATTTGCCTTCATTGCAACTGTCACTGTAGCAACCAATCAAAAATAAATAAAAACATATAATATACAATATACCTCTGCAGCTAATTAGTGCTCCATATTGCTCCAATCAATGGGTTTTTTGGATGCTATATACAGACATAGATGCTTTTTTTATATATATATATAAGTAGATATATAGGTTTTTTTTATTGAAATTTTAAAAGTGCTTAAAAATAATTAGCAATAAAAAATAATAAGTTTTGTACTTATTATATTTTTTGCAAAGTTCACTTAAAATTAGAAATTTATAATATTTACATCCACCAATTAGTAACATCATCAAATTTTGTTTTAAGGTCTAATAAAATTTTAATTTTTTTTAAAAAATAAATTACAACTTGTAAACTAAAAAATACATGATTAAATTCTTCAAAATAAAACCTCAAATAATATATTAGTTAGTAACAAAAACAATTCATGTAAAGTCTGAATTGAACTACATAAATAGAATTTTATTACTTTATTGTGTATCCAAACGATTATAAATACGTAGGTTAAATATTCTTGTTCTACTAAAGAAACTGTATATTTAATTTTAAAAAGTAACTTTCATCAAAAAAAATTTAAAAAAACTTTTTATAAGACGATGCTTGTAGGTTTACAGATCTTTTCTCGGAATGAGCCAAAACGAAGCTAGCTACGTGGCGAACAGTGCCTAATGCTGACATGGCAGACTGACTCCATACCGACTGATATACATTCATACATTCATTCATAAGTCAGCCTGACTCCATCCCACGCCACAATGCCGTCACTTCAAAGGGAAGGGAAGAGATGGGGATGAGAAGGATCTCGCGGAGTGTGCACTGTAACACCCTTCTACTACGACTACTACTACTACAGTGGTTTTGCTTTGCTTTGCTCTGCATTGTGGAGTTTGCAAGGAATGGAATGGAATGGCAGGGCATGGAAGGACGCTTTGAGGGCAAGCATGGCGGAATGTTTGCTGGGTATCACGCCGGATGCCGCAGCGAAACACGCCGCACATGACGTGGTAAAACCGACAACCGCATCGCTGTTTGGCAGGTAGCGGGGAGAGTGAGGTGGCTCGACTAAGCGAAGGAAGAGGAGGAAAAAAAAAAAGAAAAAGAGTAAGGAAAAAAAGACCATGATGAAGCAGGAGGAGGGAGGGTGCGGGAGAAGGTGCCCCTGATCATGTCAATGACCTTCATGGCCTAGAAAGCCCGTATCCCCCTCCCCGAGGTCAGAAAGGCCAGATTTTTGAAATCTCACTCACACACACAAGTTCCCCGTTGTGTGCTCCTTTGCAGACCTTGTTGATAGCTCACCTTCTCGGCTCATGCTGCTGCTGCAACTGCTGCGCTATCCCTGCCTACTTAGGGGTTGGCTTGCCCCACCCCCCTGCCTGCTTGCGTTACCGCCGGTCTCCTATTCCGCCATCACCCACCTCTCACATCGAGGTGTGCGTTCCCTTCAGCTCCCTCCATTGGGTTTTGCTCCTAGTGACTTTGGCTTTGTGGGGGTGAAGGGTGGGTTTAGTTACTTAGTTTGTGGAGTTGTTTGGGTGTGTTTTAGCAGTTGTCTAAGCTCTCTGGTTTAAACTGTAACTGCGACCTGGAGTTGTTTAGGGGAGTGGGTTGAATGTTGGTTCGTTTGGGCTTGCATTGTGCTTGTGTGATATATTGAGGACTGCAGTTCGACTATTCCCTGTTTCTGGTTTTTGGGAGTTGTCGTCGTTGTTATGGACTCGTGTGTCGTTGAGTTCTGTTGGGATGAGTGGTATTGATCGGCTTTTATTCTCTGGGTAAAGGGGGAGCTTCAAACTAGAGGAGGGCCCTGTGTACGTGGGGATTTCAATGCGTGGCTTTCAGGTAGCTGAATTGTAAAATTACACGTTCAGATCCGGAGATGTAGATTTTCTAGGGCGATTTTTTCCGGCGGAGGGATGATTTGGTTTTATTTATTTGTTTTTGTCTCTCTGGGTTTGCCATGTGGGACGTCTCGCATATTAACGTTGCAGAATATGTATAACGATATTGCTCACATTTTGGGGTTGTTGATCGACCCTATATGTAGCTGTAGCAATGCCTCCTTACGAGGCTTGTGTAGTTTCGTTTACAACTTCTTTCATGTAACGTTTGAAAGACTTTTCGAATTGTTGGCAATGGTCACAGTGTTGAAGTGGCGATGTCTGCGTTGCGTGTTCTGTATACTGTGTTTTCCACTTGAGTGCTTACTCTGCAGCCGGCAGCTCAAAGCAGCAGTTGCTAGCTCGTTCCGGGATTGAGGGTTTAAAGTCCAGTGCCGCTGCACTAGGGGTCGGTGTACTTGTTAAGCTGCAGATACAGGAATAGCTTTTGTGTGTGTGTGTATGTGTTGTGTTTTTTATTTTGTTTTATTGTTTTTAGTCTGATTAGTTATTGATTTCAGGGTCAGCAAGGTTGAGAAATCATGAGAATCTCAACATATACTTCGTAATTCCATCGCCACAAATTCTTCACAAGGATTTATTAGCGAGGATAGCTCGATGCTAGTGTGAGTTTTCAATGTCTCTGGTTAGTTTGTTTCAGCAAGCTGAGAGTAACCTTCAACTATACCTCTAAGCGATATAGATACGCATTTTAGTACATTGTCCATTTTTGGACTATTACCAGGGTTAACGAAAGTTGCAACGAAAGAATTCGGTTGAGTGGGCTGTTTGCGTAGTGGCTGCATACGTTATGTTGGTCAACGTCATTGTCTGCATCAGTCGGAATTGTTGGTTCGGCGAATTGAAATACATTTTTCTTTTAGGAGTCTATTTCAGTGGTTTTGGTCTTAGTTTATGGAACCTCAAGTCGCTCATTCGAATGCCATTGATCTTTAATCGTGTCTGACATTACTATTTTTTTGACTAGTGTGCATTTGCAAGTGAAGTCTAGCCCAAAATGCTGCTTGAGCTCTGGTTTTCCTTTATGCTTCGTTTAGCATTGCGAAGCGCTTGCTTCTAGAGGAGAATCCATGGTCTCATATCATGTATCGGCTCGTGAGACTTTCCCTTATTTGATGTGCAGGGCAAATTGATCCGACGGATACTCTCGGATTCCAGTCTATGGACACAAGACACAGAGCTGGGGGTGATATGCGTCGATACTATTCTCATGCTTGGGTCTAGAATACCCATCAGAAGTTGGAATTAGTCCCTGATTTTTTCAGCCTTTGAAAGGGACTGTTGTTTTGGAACCACTAGCAACATGGACTTCTTCATGGACAACCTGGTGCTGTTTGGATCGATCGGCATGTTCACCGTTGTGTATTTCTATGGCTACTTTTTCATATTCAACAGGCTATGGAAGGGCCGTTACCGGTACGAGGCAGCTAGCTGCGGAATGTCTTTGACTCATGGCACAGTTGTTGCCGTCTTGTGCTGTTACGAAATTTTCTCCAAAGAATGGGTTCTAGACGCTCCCAATACTCCTTTCCAGGATAAAATAATGGAGTATTCTATGGCATACTTCATTGTTGATATGCTGAACCTTGCTTTCACTGCCCCGGACGATTATCTCTTCATCATTCACCACATTGGAACCTTGTCCTACATGATATCGTGTCGGTACTTCATCCACCATGGGGCTGTATCGGTGATGTGCTGTATAGCAGGTGGAGAAGTCACAAGCCCTGTTCAAAACATCTGGACACTGGCTAAACTGGCGAAAGATGCATCTCAGAAAGCGAAGCAATTATTTATAAGTATCTCTCCCTACTTTACAGTGTATTTCAGCATTGTGAGGGGAGGCTTTGGACCCTACTTGACATGGACTCTTGGGAAATTCTACTTGAGAGGCCACGCGGACAACATAATGCCAAGATGGTTGGCGTGGTGTTGGATGTTCAAGCTTGCGTTTGCAATCGTCGCAAGTATGTTGTGGGTTAAAGATCTGTGGTTGGCTTTGTTCTCCAGAACAAAGCCTCAAGGACCTGTCCAAGTGAAAAGTGATTGAAAGGATCTTCGTATCTGGCTACCCACAAAGAGCAATCCTTGCCTTCCCATGGATGTTGTAATATGTTATCTTGTTAATTTAGTGCAATTGTCGAAATCATTTGGCAGTTTTCATTTCAATACCTGGAATGTACTAAAACAATTCATTATCTTTTAATATTATTATTGTTTTGTTGAGTACAAGAACGAAATGAGTTGTTTCCATGTTTTGTTTTTCGAACTTAAATTGTTCGTGGATTCAATAAGAACCGTGGACTATAGTAGGGTTGTGAAGGGAATGAGGTAGTCGTGTTTCTTCATTGTTCGATATTCCCATCGTTGTGCAGCGGCATTTTCTTCACCTCATAGCCGTAGTATTATCATTGTGTACTGCATCCCTTCTGATTGCGTTCGGTGACGGGCGCTGAAGTGTGCTAAGTTGGGTGACTGCAATGACCGTCAGTGAGGTTTGGAATGTTTTTCTGTGGTGTTGGAATTATTGTTGATAACTGAAACTTGATATAAATGTTCTACTGAATCCATTTAGATTAGTGTGTCTAAGATCCTGCAATGTGGTTGATGTGTTCGATTGGTTGATTCCTTCTAAAGGAGGCTCTGTTGGTTCAGGTTGGATGCAGATTAGCAGTGTGGCCAAGAAACTCTTCTTAGGCTACACTGCTCAAAATAGCCTACTTCACTACGTTGACACACTAAGTTAAGGTCAGACAAAAATAGCCTATTTCACTACCTTGACACAGGAAGTTAAGGTCAGACACACTGTTTGTGTGTCACTAGACTCTAAATACTATAGCTACGGTATTTACTATAGACTACAATAAATATTATGGAGAGCGCAGGCTACATTTAATGATCTCAACACTTCTCCTCGCTCATCATAATATTTATGTAATATAAAATTTGTATAGAATTATGATCTATACTTTTTTGTGATCTTACAAGATCAACAATTGTTGCCTCATTAAAACCTTATCTAGGAAAACCTTATTGTATTTAAGGACAAAACCATAGATGAAGGAAAAAGAATACAACATCATTTTTTTTAATTATTTAAAGAGCTCATTAACTTTCTTATTCAAGAAAAGCAAGTCGCCACATACTTATGCCATAAGTAAGTTGACAATGGTTGTACAATGGGAGAGCTTTGGTGAAGAGATCAACAAGGTTATTTGTAGATTCAATTTTCTTAATTATAAGTACTTGATCAATAATCAAGTCATGGGTATAACTAAAATACTTTGTATCAATATACTTTGTCTTGTCGTCTTTAATGAAACCAACTTGCATCTATGCAATACAAGCACTATTATCTTCATGCAAGATAGTTGGAGAATTATCATGTGAAAATCCACAAGTTGTTTGAATGAATTTATCAATTGATCGCAACCAAATACATTCTTGAGATGCTTCATGTAAGGCAATAATTTTTGCATGATTGGATGAAGTTACAGTTATTGTTTGTTTCATTGATTTCCATGATATTACAGCTCTATGTCTTAAAAATACATATCATGTTTGAGATTTAGCTGTTGTATTATCAGATTTATATCCTGCATCAAAATATTCAACCAATTTTGGATCTACGGATTGTGTGTAGTATAATCCCAAGTCTTCAGTACCTTTTAAATAATGTAATAAATATTTGATGCTATTCCAATGTCGTAGTGTTGGACGTGCATTATGTCTTACAAGAACACTAATTGCAAATGCAATATCTGGTCTTGTAGATATAGCTAAATACAAAAGTATTCCAATCATTGCAAGGTATGGATATTGATCTCCTAATATTTCTTCCTCCTTGCATGGACGATATGGATCATGACCATCACGACCACATCCAACCATTGATGTGGATAATGGATAAGCATCAATCATATTAAATCTTTACAAGATTCGTCTATTATACATTAGTTGGTAGAGAAAAATGCTACCATCTGTTAGATGCATAATCTGAAGACCCATACAGAAAGTTATTTTTCCTAGAATTTTCATCTCAAATTCACGTATAAGTAGGTTAGTAGCTGTAACACATGCAGATTTAGTGCCCACTAGGTTAAGATCATCAATATATATAGCAATGATGACAAAACCAATTTTATCTCATTTGATAAACACACAAGGGATTAGTGGATCACTTATAAAATTATTTGTAATTAAATAATCTCAAAGACGTTGATACCACATGCATCCGGATTATTTTAAACCATACAAGGCCTTACATAATTTAATACCACGATATTGTCCTAGAGCTGATCCATTTAGGATTCCTGTTTTTAAGCTAGGTGGAACTTTTATATAAATATTTGCATTAAAAGAACCATACAGATATGGAGTTATTACATCCATCAGATGCATCTTAAGGGTGGCATGAACTGTCATTCCAATAATATATCAAAATGTAATTGAATCCATGATTGGAGAATATGTGGATTCATAAATAATACCAAATTGTTGAGTAAATCCTTGAGCAACAAGACGAGCTTTATAGTGGATTATTTGACCTTGAGCATCTCGCTTACATATTAATACCATCTTATATCCCACAGGGCGAGATGGAAGAGTATCTATAATTTGACCAAAGACTTTCCTCTTATGCAAAGATGCATACTCTTTCTCAATAGTAGTTTTCTATTTTGACCAATCAGAGCAACGCATCGCCTCCTCGATGGTTTGAGGTCCAGGATCGTCTTCCTCACAAGAAAGGGCTTCTATAATCATATATGCAAATGATTCATCTACCATAATAGATGGTTTGTCCCAAATATCATCTGTAGCATAATACAGAATAGATAATTCTTTACTCAACTTGTTCTTATTCCTTCCAATTTCAAGATTGTTTTTCATAGGAATTGAAGGTACATTATGCATGGATATATCATCATGAATTGGTAGTCCCACACGATGAGTGGCAATTTCTTGAGAAATAATACGAGGATTAATCAATTTTATAGCTTTTTTCTTACATGGTTGCTTATCTGGTCCACGAGTTCTTTTAGTTTTTGTTGTTATAACTTGAGATATTGTAGTTAATGACACTGCAATCTGAGCAGGTGCATTCTGAGCCTCATTAATAGGAACTCTTGTAATTTCAATTGCATCATTGAAGCCATTAGATGTTTCATCTGCGATCCGTTTTAGATGCAAAATCTTAGCAACTTTAGTTTTTGCCAAAGTTGTCCTAGGATCTAGATTCATTGTAAACGTTTCTAGTACTTCAAATATGAGTACTTTATTTCTTTGTTGATTGGATACTCCTCCTTGAAGAGATAGCAATACATTTTCTTCAAAAGTGTAATTTTGCAAACATGCATGTAATAATGTGCCAATTGATGGATCAACAATACGAATAATGCTTGGTGAATCAAAATCAACATATATGCCTTCTTGTCGATAAGCTCCAATGGTACGTCATTGAGATTCTGGTATTGGAATCCAAACACAGCAACCAAATATTCTTAAGTGAGATATATTTGAAACATGACCCGAAATGAGCTCATGTGGTGAAACAATTTGCAAAAAAGAAAGGTGGAGGCGTATTAATGCTCCAGCATGTAAAACTGCATGATGCCACATAGATGTAGGTAAATTTGCATGATGGAGGAGTGTCCAGGTAATGAGTTGTATACGCTTTATAAATGATTTTGCAAGTCTGTTTTGAGCACGTTCATATGGAACACAATATGTCAACTCAATTCCTGTTGCAGTACAATAGTCTTCAAAAGACCTTGATGCGAATTCTTTTGCATTATCCATACGCAATGTTTTTATAGAATAATCAAGAAAATGTGCCCAAAAATAAATAAGTATAGATATAAGATTGGCAAATACCATGTTTCGAATTGATAATAATGAAACATGTGATTGTTTACTTAATGCATCAACAAAGACCAAAAAATAACAAAATGGTCCTGATATTGGACTAATAGGACCACAAATATCACCATACAATCTTTCAAGCATTGGTGGTAATTCTTGTGGAAGTTTTCAAATTGAAGGCCAAGTAATCATTTTATCTTACATGCATGCACGACATAATTCCATAGAGTCTACATCCACAGGCTTTAAATTATATCTAATTATACATGAAATGATCTTTCTAAATCATATGGATCCTGAATGTCCCAATCGTCCATGCCAGAGAGAAACATGACTCTTTGTGATAGATGATGCAAAATTAAATATAATGGGAGGCCAAATCATAATTCAGTATAAACCATTTTTTGTAGCAAAAGCTTTTTCAACAACTTTATGATTCTTTGCAAGAACCAAAACCTCTTTTTATTTAAAATGGCAGTGGAGAGGTGATAACCATTAATACGCACATCTCGGTAGCTGATTAGACTCCGAGGTGCTGAAGGTGCAAACATCACATGTTTACATTTTATGATGGAACCCACAGGTAATTTTACCATTGCTATGCCCTCTTCGAAACAAAACGCATTTATTCCAGCCATGATCATCATATTTTTAGTTTGCCAAGTTAAAGATTTTTCAATAAAAAATCATCTATCTCACAAGATAGTATGTATTATTGCAGAATCAATGAGCGCATCATTCGATTCATCATTAGAAGTTTTGTCATTCATATAAGCCTCTAAGTCATCAACACCAATTGAATCCATCAACGCATCCATGATATGAACTTCATAAGCCTCAGCTCATAGTTTCTTATTTTCTTAGAATATTTTAGTATAATATTTTGAAGTACGGCATGCATGTGCTAAATGTCCAATCATTCCACACTTATGGCAAGAATGCATCTCTGATTTTTGTTTTCTACTATAATTAATAGTAGAACGTTTATTCTTTCCATATAGGTAGAAATGGTCATGACTATAACTACCCTGATACTTATAAGCACATTTTCCATGTTTATATAATTTTTTCTTAGATTTTGAAATATTAAGTGCGTGAGATTCTACAACTGTAGTTCGAATAGGATGAGTTTGCGCATTGCACAAGAGTAGCTCATTTTGCTTCTCCACAAGAAGTAGATAGGATATGACATCAGAATGACTCTGAAATTTCATGTTCCTATATTGTTGTGCAAGCACAACAGATACAGGAGGAAATGTAGAGAGAGTTTTTTCAATCATTTCTTCTTCAGAGATGCTTTGTCCACATAATTGTAATTGTGAGATAATACTATACATTTCACTATTGAAAGCATTTAAATTTGAAAAATCCAAAATAAGTAAATGTGTCCAATTATGACGTGCGTGTAGAAGAAAAATGGTCTTTTGATGAACAAACTTGGATTTAAGATTCTTCCAAAGTACTATAGGATCTTCCATTTCCGAGTATTGATGTTGTAATGCAAGTACAAGATGATGACAAACGAGAAGAAGTGCTTTCCAACGAATAGTAGGTGGAATAGAAATACTTATTGTAGGAGATTCCTCAAACATAATGGCATCTGAGAGTTGTTTTGCAAATAAATTTGCTTTTGCTATTTTTACCCATAATACATAATTTTTTCTATCCATTGTCAATGGTGGAAATAAAAGAGCTTTAAAATGTTGGGATGCACTGGTAATAGTTTAAAGCATAGTAGAAGCAATGGAAGATGTTGAAGCACTCATTATAAATAAATCTATAAAGAAAATACAAAATCAAGTAGAAAAGTTGAGTAAAACGTACTTTAAAATATAAAGTCAAATAAAATGATAAAATTGAACTTGAAAAATAAAAATATTATTTTTCTATTTTATTTTATTTTTTAAGGAGAGATTATGGATTATGGTAGCAAAAATAGTAGTAGGACGGTAGTAGCAGGCTGTGGCGGGCGGCAGTGGTAGGGCGGTAGCAGCGGGCAACAGTGGCAGCAGCGGTAAGGTGGGCAGTAGCGGCAGCATCAGTGGTGTCAACGCCAACGACGATAGGGTGACGGCAGCTTGGCGGCTGTTTGATGATAGGCGCGAGGTGCAACACGAAGCAAGGTTAAGCTGGGTTGGATCAAGTATTCCAAGCAAGTATTCTAAGCAAGTATGGCAGAGAGTGGAACAAGTACTCTAAGCAAGTAGCTAATGTGTGAGGGTCCAACAAGAAGAGCATCAAGATCATGAAGTAGACACTAAGCAAGAGTAGCAAGAAGAGTCAAGACTAGAGCACAAAAAAATGTGATAGTGTGTAGAAGAGAGTCATATTGATAACGTATTGAGAATATTTAGAAAGACACAAGAATAATAGTAAGTCATACACACACACAAGAGTAGTAGTAAGTCATACACACAAGAAGGTTTCTAAGCAAAGAGATAGTATTTATTATAGAGAGTGTCAGCTACATTTAATGATCTCAATAGTGCGGAAGCGCTGTTAAGGCAAAATATTCAAGTACCATTGAAAGAAGAGTGCTGCAAATCAAGTATACTTCATCCAATTGTAGGAGACAAATATATATATATATATATATATATATTATCTGTTTGAATGACTCACGCTTGACAGTATACAGTTGACATGACGTGAAGATAATAAGCCATTACACTATTAATGCCACTAAAAAAGCCAGAATGAATGCCAAAAAGTACTCCAGAGGCATCACCGATTGGTGCTACAACATTGTGTAAAATCTCCACACCAACTTGATTTGAAGCATTTGGCTGGTGTGAATGGAGAGTCTAGAGGAGAATATGTTCATTTTGATCTTTTTTCTTCTAATACATAAAAACTCTTCAATGTTGTGATGGTAGAAATATATAATTCTTTGAACCTTCCGAATTATCTTCATCATTTGTTAAGCTCAATTTTTTTACATTTCAATAATACCAATTGCCATCAAGCAATGATTTATTGAACAGGTTCGTGCACGTGGTGCAGCTGCTGTACAAGATAAATAAAAAAAAATTGACGTATTAGTAGAATTTTTGGATTGCTTATACTATGATCAAGGATTTACACTTGGTCACAATTAATTAATTGATTTTTTTTTCTAATTGGATTTTGTACTAGCATAATATTAGTAGTTAGATTGATTTAAGTGGACATAATCATAATCTAAAGTCTACAAAAACTTAGCATCCTTTCAAGTGAGTTTGATTGTAGGTGCTATATATCCTACAAAGTTCCAATTATGATATCAATTGAATCACATTATCTTATTAAATGCTTGGATATTTTATAATCTTCTTTAGAGTTTGCATGTCTACTAATATTTTGATTGTTAGTAAAATAAGGATTTTTTTTCCTAAAATGGCATAAGAATGGATTATAAATATTTATATTGTGAAATTAAAGCTCAAATTATATTCTTACACCACTGGAGATAAAAACCAAAGTTTCTTCAAATATGCATTGACAATGTTTTACACAATAAAATTTTCTTTTAAAAGGAAAAAAGATCCAAAGTAATTCTTAAATATATGATTTACCAATTATAGATGAGTACATATAGTATTCTTCAATTTATCAAACATAGTAATTTTATAGAGATTCTTAATATTGCAATGATACAATTTTGTAATAGTTGATAAAATTGATATTGATTCAATAGATATTCCATAAAATTTTCTAATAAAGAATATGATTGGTGTATTGCAAATTTATTGACTATATCTTTAAATATAAATATATAGTATTGCTAATACCACCACATTTTACTACAGTTTTTGCTATTGACACCACAACTTGTCATTTATCACATGCCACTCAGACTATTTGTTAATGTTAAATAAAAAAGTAAATATGTATTTTTAAGAATTATTTTTAAGAATTAAATATATAAAATAAACTATTGTCTATCTAACATAACATTGTATAAATATCCAACATTTTGTTGTATTACAAATGATAGAAGTACTTTTTTTATTATAAAAGGTGCTTAAATTATGTCTATTTCAAGAATATGCTACAAAATATTTTTAAAAAATATCTAAAAATATATTTATTTATTTATTGATACAAATTTTAAATAGATAATATAAATAATTAAGATCTTTTTTATAGCCAATTGATGCTAAATTAGTTTGTGGCTTAATTGGTTATTATTTCTATAGAAAATATTTTAGCCTACAAATATGTACGATTTTATTTATATTTATATGTACCCACATGTGTATATATAAACCAATAGAAACAATAATTATAATTTGGAACAATATATATTTATTAAAAAAACTCAAATATTAATGTAATTGCCAAATGTTTGAATAAAAATTTTATGGTATTATCTATAAAGAAGAGAATTTCATAAAAAGACCATTTTAAAGAAATAAAAATAGTTCAAGGTATGATAAGATCTAAGACTTAACAAGATAAGAAAAAATCTTTAAAAATATTACTTGCATTTTAGTTCTTCTACTTAGAACTTGCATACAAAGATTCTTTTACATCAAATCTTTAAAAACAAGCTTAAGCTTAAAAAATAAAGATTCTTAGAATATTTACCAAATAGAAAGGATAATAATGGATAAAAAATAAATTAATTCTAAATTTAGCGGATGGGACACAAATTGGGTCTTTTGGGATAGCGGCACCAATGACGAGGCCGGCCAAATTTAGGGCATGCGTGCCGGAATGGTGCTGGGTGTTTTGCTTGGAACCCTAATTCGACGGGTGTAGCTCGACCCCAATCCAAAGACGATCCCTTCGGTATTGACGCGATTCGGGCTGGGGTTTGAGTGGCAGCAGACAGATTCGCGCATTTCAATTGCGACCTTGCTGTTGTTGTTAATATTATTGTCGGTGGGGTTGTGGGTTTTCTGGGTTATGTGAATCCTGCAATGGCGACATCCGGCTGGAACCCACGTCGTGTTCATGTCTTCGTCGTGCTGTTCGTGACAGTGTTCTCTTTCGCTGCCGTGGTCCATGCTAGGACGGAGGAGAACTCTTTTGTGGTTAGCCGGCACAGGGCAGAGGGGAGCGTGAATGTGGTTGTGGGTGGTGGGTCTCCGTGTGATTCTGCTGTTGAGGTACGAGGATTGGTGACCTAATTTGGAAGCTTTTTGGTTGATCCTGGGTAGTGTACGATGGCGTGTGGTGGATTAGGAACGGTGTTTTGCTCTGGTGGCCGGATTGTTACACCTTGTGTTGTTCATGCTGTTTTTAAGGGGTTTGTTGGGTTCCGGAATTAGGGGTTCTTCTTTGTACAGTGGATCGGTGATGCTTTTATACATTTGATTTGGAGAATCTCACATGGCAGTAGTAGATTTCTGACCAAATGATGATTCCACTAGCTGTGTGTCAGAGTTCGGCCTCTAATTTTCATCGATGTTTCGAAATGGGTGGTGCTAAATGATACACGCTGAGTTTTTTCCTATTATCTAGGGGTCGTAGGAGTTCACTTCAATTGTGGGCTTGCAGGTACAGTCAGATGAACCCTTGATTCAAAGCGTTACATCTGAAGATGCAGCTGATGTTGCCAGCAATTTGTCCAAAGGTAATTTTGTTGCATGCACGAACAGTCATTGGAAAACATCATCGTGGCTGTGTTTTCAATTTTATTTTTTTAACCTTTCATCGGAGGTTCTGCTCTTTACATCAATTTGTCCATCATTTACTTAATTTGGATCATTTACATTACTCTATCATGGATTAAACATATTACTTCTCCGAGAAAGAAGTCATAAATTATTTCATGGTGGAACATTTAGATCTTTTCAATCTCAGTTGCAGGCATCAGTCAATGTAAGCAAACATATTGACTCCATTGTATGCATGTATTCTGATTTAGGACCTTGCATTCGCCAAACAACCATGTCGTGCCCTGTGAAATGCTTCAGATCTTATCCGTACGTATTCACCCTCTTCTACTTCTTCTTTAGTTCAAAGGCAAGAAAAATGCTTTGATTCTTGCGAATTGTACGCATTTTCCCGCACTAACTTCGCTTTTAGACGATTGTTACTTGTGTGTGCGTCCTCTTTGTCGCTATATTGGACTCATCGGGATTGTTCAGTCGTTATTGAAATGTGCAATGTTTCTTGGTGTTCTTCTTCAGGGTATGTGGAACAGATAAGGTCACATATAGGTAAGCACCAGTAGACGTCTTTCTTCCTTGTATGAGAAAGATTCTCATTTGTCAGGAAATTTTATGTTAAATCTGTTACAGCATATTTTTAAATACACATGTCAATACAGCTATCTTCTTCTGTATATTCTCTATGCGAATAAGCGCTTTGGCTTCTTTACATGTGAACCAATCCTTGGATGTGGAACAGGTGCGGAGCTGCCGACGCAAATTGTGCAGGAGTGGAAGTAGCTTACGATGGATTCTGTAATCTATGGGAGGGAGATAGAAACGTTGGGTCATCCACGGCTCTCTATGCTGTGCAGTCTTTACAACTTGTTCACATGCTCTGGCTGGTGTTTGCAGGATCGTTCGTTGTTCTAGGCATGCTTTGATTTCAAAGCGGCATGTTGTCTTAGTATTGTAATTTAATTTTAATTTTATTGCTTGCACAGAATCATTCTTTAGTTCCAAAAATTTGGAGACATTTAGGGAGATACAGATTTGCGCTTCAGCAGTTGCAGATGTAGAAGTGTATGCAGTAGGACGATTTCAATTATTCAGCTGCTTTTGTTCCCGTTTATGAACGATGAAATTTGTATCTGTTCAATTTCATAAATATAAAATGTGCAATAGAATATACAGAAAATAAATTTCTAATACTGGGATGTGGGCTATTGCTCTGACCTACACTACCTTAAAAGTTGGCGCTGGGTGGTTAAACATTATACCCATGTTTCTGGGTTACTCATCTTTGGGTAGCTTTGTCATATTAATGTATTTTTCATATGTCCATTATATTCCTTTAGTACTCAAGAAGTGTGCCTCACATGTGCCAGCTTATCTACTCTCTTAGGACTCAGAGTTTCTCATTAGAGAAGCCAGTCAGGTGTTCTATGTCTTGATCCTATTGAATGGTAGGTTTCATAGTTTTTGTTTGACAATGAAACTTGTCATGGCCGGTTACACAACAAGATAAGAATCTGCTGAAATTCGCAGGTTTCTGCAGTTTCCCGTATCACTTCAAGACACCTCTCACCACCTTCTCTACCCTCACACAACTTCTGATCTCATTGGAGTTAGCGACCTCTCCAACAGAACGTGAAGGTTCAGGACTTCCCAATACGCGGTTTGAAGAAATGTGGGATGCATCTAATCTACGCGATGCACAAGTAGGTCAAGAAATTACATGGCGAGGAGTCCGTCAAACTCTTGCTGTTTTGAGACAAGTTTAACATCAATCCAACCGCCTCCTTCTTTTGCGGGTGACAAGCACCTGGCTCTCATGGGATGCTTCTGTACCTTCCTCATGGCCAGCTGTATGTGAAGCCTCTTCACCGTGTTCTCTTCTCCTCCTCGACCTTCTCACCACTTGAGTCTCTGGTAGTATCCTCTCGGGACTGCTTTGGCTTTCATTAGCGGCATTCAATCCTGGATCAGGATCTGGACTTCGCTCGGAGTCAGAGACGAGTTCCCGTGGGGCTGAAGTTGCATTAAGGTCAGAGAGGAACTCATTCGTACTCAGAACCTCAGTATCGGTCAACTGAACTGGATTGACTCCTCCTAAATCTGGACTGTTGATTAACTGTGGCATTCGATTTCCTCCTATGGGACCCTCCAAATTATGCACAATTTGCTCGATGTTGTCAAGGCGGGCTCGCATGGTAATGATCCAGTCTGAAACCTGGGATGGGTGTACTGTCAAGCGGTTGTCGGAGTCTTCTTGTGGTTGTTGAGAAAGCTGAGAGACGGCTGAAGCTATCATCCGCCTTCTTTGTTGTACGGCATCAGAGTTGGGCTCCGCATGCTCCTCCATGTCTGCTAGCCGCGCATGAATTGATGCCAAAGAAGCTGCGGCCTGTGAAAGGAAAGACAATCTGGTTTGAGTATAAAACATGGTCGCTATTCAGCGTAAGTGAACCTTGGATGATGAGTATTCACCTGTTCTTTCAGACCGAATTTTTCCTATCTTTTAAAAGACAGTGGCAACATCGCTGATTAGCTCCAATTAAACCGTTTGCTCAAGCCATATTTTGCAAGCAAGCAACTGCAGATTGCAGTCCTGATCACGGACGATACAGCCTTAGGAGATAGGTGGGTGCCATGTCTTTTTCTTGGGTAGCCGAATGTCTAGGAGAGATCATTTACTCTCAGCAAGTTCAATTCCACAAGTTTCGATGCTCCCAGTGACACGATGACAAAAATGCCATTACCTCTCTACGTAAAAGTCATCATATTCAGGTTAGTGTGAACTGTTCGCTCTTACAGATTGTATATGAGTTACCTGTGTAGGATCCACCATAAAACGGCTTCCATTAATTATATGCTCCCACTCTTGTGACAACAGAGCATTAGCTGCCAGCATTTGCTGTCCTTCTACGCTTCTCGATCCTGGATTTTGATTTATGCCAGCATTATCCCCAGTATTTGCCAAAGCTTGCCTCACTTGCTCTCTTCTAAAGGCCAATCTACGTTGCAAGTAGCCACTATGAGAATATTCGGTTGGTTCGCCTGCCTCTCCACTAAACTGACTCACACCACCTTCCATGTCTTGTAACCTTGCTGCAGTGTCTACACCTCCCGATGGGATATCCTCTTCTCTTTGGGGCGTTGCCTCGGAAGTTAAAGCTTCAGAACCAGTAGCCCGTAGATCACCCTCTTCTACAATCACTGCGGCTACTTGATCAATTTCTGTGCCTTGCATCCGTTCTTGATTGGTTATCTCCCTGGCTTCTGCTTCTCGAAGCTCCCGTTCACGTTCGCGCTCCTCTCTCTCCCGCTGTTGCCTCGCGCTCTCTATCCTCCTAGCAGCAGGACGTGGAGGTATTCTCTCAGACCCAAGTCCACCCTGCATTCTGGCTGAGGCAATAGCATCTTCACGCCCATAAATCGGCGTGATGCTGTACTCAGCTATGGCTCCTTTGCAGACTGGACACTCTTTGTGGTAAGAGTGCACATGTAACCATCTGTACAAGCATGGCCAACAGAAGAGATGGCCACAGCAGGTCACCACTGCTTCGTTTGCCTTCTGGAAGCAAATGTTACACTCGAAATTTTCTCCTATCCCTGATGATTCTTCCAGTGCGGTTACAGCTGAAGTCAATCGAGACAGCCTCTCTTGACTCCCTTCAAGGTCGACAGCAGTTTGCGGGATTGGTCCACTCGTCACTGATCCTGAAAAGCGTATCCAATCCAAACAAAATTATGAGAACATCAACTGGAATCAATAGTCTGTAAATCAGAAAGGAAGCCGTATTTGCGAATAATCGTCCTTGAAATAGGTTTTTTAAAGTTGCAGTGTATGATATATTTAGAAAGACAAAAAGTGTCTTATGCCAGAGAAATCTTTGTGATAAAGAGCCAAACTTCTGTTTAGAATCTTTACCTGTAAGGCTGGTAGCTGTGCTGTGTTCTCGGTTGCTGTGCGCGATGTCTTCAGTGACCAAATGGATATTTGATATGTGGCCTCTAATTGTCCTGTTTCTTCTCCTGATTCTCTGTCTCAAATGTGGCAACCTTCGCGGTAAAATTAGATGTGAAGGCACTTGGGGTCTTGTTTCAAATGCGGTCTGGGCGCCCTGAACATAACCTTCTGCTTGTTGCATGTAGTTTGGTTGCTGAAGTTCCGTATATCCTTGCATTTGCTCTTGCACAGGTGTGTGATATCTTTGATAACCATAATGTACCTCTTGCGATGGTGCGTACAAATTTCTTCCATGCAAACTAGGCATATAAGATTGCTGATCGTAATGCAACGGTTGAGAGTCCGCAATTTGATATGTGGGGTATCCATTTTGTGGCCCTATTTGCTGCATCAGCATGTATGGATTGTAGGTTGGAGTTGGAATTGAAGTTGGAAGATTGAGGTTCAGATCCACGTGCCTTGGAAGTGATGTTTCCGATTCGGAGCCAGAAATTTGGGGAACTTGTTCCGCGCTGCTCTGATTGTCTGCCCCTGGCACTTGCATTGCCATGCCTGCAATCCGTCAGCCTGCAGTTTTTTTATAGGTTATCGCATTCTTACAGCAACTGAGCTTTTCCTTCAGAATTGTGAATGACCTAGAGTCATGATCACTCTGACACTTGCGTTATGAGAATTTTTTCGATTGTAACCTGTGGTGACTGCAGCCAATACTGAAATCCATAAGATCATTTGTATTCTTGTAAAGCTGTCCGCTCGGTTCAATAAAAGAAATTGGGCACGTGCGGACTCCTAATCTGCTGGTCATACGTAATTTTTCGTGAACCACAGAATCAAAGGACCAACGCTCAGACTTCAGATAACCCGTCACCACATCCATGTCAGTGAGCAACATCACAACCACCCCACATGTGGTGTGGTGGGACAAACGACAACGCTCTTGTTCACACACCTATTTTCCGATTGTCGCGCAATGAGGAACGCAGGCTTCCGCAGCAATCAATACGACATCAACATTGCCTTGCGTGGCTAGAGAAGTGAACTCCGCCCCAGCGCGCGAGAGCCTAGCAGCACAATAGTGCCGCAGCTGCTCTGTCCCTTAAGAGAAGATTGAGAGTGGGGCTTTGGAAGATCCTTTAAGTGAGAGACACCAAGAGGTGCAGACAGGAACCTGTTGGTAAGAAGTATTTAAGACTTATTACTATTCAAGCTTGCCAGGTCAGATAGTAGAGGCATAGACTAACTTAGAAGCGCCATTTGGAGAAGCTCAGGAGTAAGTTAATTAGGAGTGAAGATTGAGTGGAGTTTTACAACTCTCGGCCCTGCGCTCACTTTGTCACTATTCCTCGCCAGTCCATGGTCAGTGACGATGATGAATGACCGTCCGACAAGGATGAGATGGTTGTCATGAGTTAATTTGTCTTCTATAGATCCCAACGAAAGCAGCTCTCAAATCGTCACAAGGAGTCACGACGTAAGTCGAAACGGTTTCCCACAGACCCGTTTTGTCAATCTCACAGATTCGTGTTACATCCATACGTAAAGCTCGTCATGCTCACTCCAGCGCATCAATGTCGAAAACATAACCACAATCGGAGAGGAAGATACGGATTTTAAAGGAATTGATTGAATGTGTGCCCACCACCAGGTTATGGTTAAAGGATCGTCGCCTTCTTGCTTCCCTCGAGCGTTATCAGTACTGAGGTGCGTCAATAAGCCCACAAATACAATTTCACGACATCGATAGACAACAATATCACATGACACTAATACAATTTCACGACATCGATAGACAACAATAACACATGACACTAGTACAATTTCACGACATTGATAAACAACAAAATCTGCACTCATGAATTACATTTCAGGCCACTTACTGGGGAACTTAAAGCAAATACGCAACACCATCTCACACAAAGCAATCTAATACAGTAAAAGGTTCACAGCAGCTACTGTTATCGACATTGTCTTCTCACAGCGCATCATACACAAAGATCAATTTCCTGCAAATATGGTCTATTGCACGAAACAAAGAATTAGGCAAAATAGAATACTGCCAGAACCCAGGAATTCAGGTACTTAACAAACAACTTCAATTGCCGAACTTATTGAACCAAAAGCCCGATTACAAGCTCCGCATGCTCTCCTCAAAAGTTGAAGCAAAATGAGACTCAAACTCAATACGCGGCTAATATTTACTTCTCACAAAAATTCACGAGGATCTGTTACAAAGCCTGTGAGAGCGGAGGCAGCGGCAGTGTAAGGTGATGCAAGATATATTTGCCCCTCTTTGTGTCCCATTCGCCCAGGAAAGTTACGGTTGGTAGTTGAAACACAAACCTGCGTCAACATAGAAAAATTTGAAAGTGGATAAGTAGCTCCATAAATAGGCTATCTGACAATCAAACGCAGATAGGAAAGATACCACCGTAGTGAAGAAGTAAAAACAAATAAAGCATGGGCGCTGACAATAAAAGAATTTAGACAAATATACCTGAGGATCATTCATGCGAGCGTAGGTGTCGCGAGGGCCACCCAGGCAAGCAGCACACGAGGGAGAAGCAGGAGTATCACAACCTGCTTGCTGAAAGATTTCCGCACACGTCTTTCCATCAGTTCCAGGTACTGGCAGAGAGTACAAGTCCATCCAGACCTTCTGTGTAGCAGGCACAAGGAATGTTGGCACCTTCACTTTTTGACCCTGTCATAAAAACGAGTATTAGCACTTCCATTACTCAATTATATAAAAAGTGACTGCATAAACATTACATAGAGCAAAAAAACCAATTTCGAATAAAGTTCCGGACTCACTGAGATTGCCAGAAGCTCTGCAGCAGCAAGGAAATCTTCAGTCTTTCCACCAGTGCATGACCCAATGTAAACGCGGTCAATCTTAACATCCTTGCACTCTCGAGCCAAACCCCTGTTGTCTGGAGAATGTGGCTGTCACCATATCAACGCACATATGATTAGATACCACAATTGGTTGGCTCTCACAATTTCACTTACTAATAAGTATTGAACAAGATTCGTCAACACCAAACATACGAATTGAATGAGGATCAACAGTTTATTAAAGATAAAAATTAAAGTAATTTATTAACAGAAAATAACAAAATGTTGACAAACCTTGGCTACAAGAGGCTCCAGCTTTGAGACGTCAAATCTGTATTCTTGTAAGAAGCTGCAAATGACGATTGGGAGGTTGAAAAAAAGAAACTTTCCTAGCACTAAAAAGATCTAATACACTCATTTCCTAGTCAACATCTTAGACTTTGATAGCCAACATTCGATGGCCTTCGCATATAGATATATGAATCTACGAGACACATCACATTCAAAGTGCAGCGAGAGCCTAGATATCTTACATTACGAATGAGATTTTTTTCAAGGATAAAACAACTGAAACAAATTAGAAATAGTCAGCCGACGTAAAATAAATCACAAATAGGTTGGCAGGATATACAAACCTGGCGTTTCCATCACTAGTGAAAACTTGATACGGTTTTGAGGTTTTTCCTTCCAAGTACTTCGCGGTTGTGGCATCAGCAGGAACAACGCCATTCTTGCCTCCAGCTTCCACGACCATGTTGCACAGAGTCATTCTGTCTTCCATCTACATGTAATTTCCAAATGCAGCAGTCAGAAAGACCCAGCAAGCCTCTAGAAAATAAACTCTTCGTGCAGTCGAGAAAGTACGAATAAAGCCAACGATTGAGAAGTTCAATATTAAAACACTCAATCCCCTAAGACCTAACATGGAAAGCCCGTAATAGAAGGCACGCCCTAGACATTAAGCTCAGCAGATGCCTCAGTGCTATTCGGGCTGAAAAGACTACTAACCGTCATAGCATCAACGGCAGTGCCGACAAACTCCATCGCTCTGTAAGTTGCCCCTGCAACAGATATTTCACCGATAATCTGCACAAACAGACTGACTTAATTAAAAGAGAAATTTTCATTGATCACTACAACGAAGCTCCACTTCAAATTCGATTCTACAAAATGAACCAACACGATCCATAAAATACAACCATACCTGCAATATGAGATCCTTGGCTAACAGGTACTTTGGCATTTCTCCATCGAGCACAAACCTCAACGTTGGTGGAACCTGTAGGAAGTACCACAAATTAGCATTTTCATCCATGCTTGTGCGATAAAATTACCAGCGCCACATAGCATTCCTTCAGTCGAACAAAATTTTACAGATATAATGATTCACATCGGCACAAACATTCACTTCATTCTCTCACGCACACGTCCCTGCGGTATGTGGCGTGGCAAATGTCCACTACAACTATGTCAGTCGTATGAAATTGCCCTACCTTAAATATTCACATCGAGCCACAAATTTGAACTATCAACTGTACCTTAATCAGGAGCTTGCCGGTGCCCATAATAAAGCCTGCATCAGTGTTACCGATCCCTGTTGCAAACTGACCAAACGCTCCAGCATTGCAAGTGTGGGAATCTGTGCCGAAGAGAACCTACGCCCATTGAAGCCACGATCGTATTTAACTTGCGAAAAATCCAAAAACTGTAAATGTGGTAGACGGGGCTGCATATGTCAACGAGCAACATTATGCACTACGGCATATTCGACAGTAACGAAAACTTCCGTAACAAATACCTCTCCAGGGCGACAATGGCCCTCCTGCGCAAGAGCCACATGGCAAACTCCCTTGTAATCTGGATTGGCCTGCGCAAGTTCGACAAAATTAGCATTAAATCAATTACTGTGCGTATCAAGTGAGAATAGAAGAAAATAATGCCTCCATGTGTGATCCGTTTTACATAATGTTGCGAAATAACGAATACAATGCTACATGTTCGTCTACGTCTGACAAACTAAGTAAGACGTTGTCTACTCGTAATATGCACATATAACGCTCTTCTGGCGTTTTTTGCAAAAAGACACGAGACGTACAACTGCAGAAACAGGACGTACCCGAAAGTTGCTCCTATCAGTAATGTCGTAGAAATACTTGATGTCTTGCTCACGAGCAAAGTCACGTAGGATATCCACATTTCTATTGGCTCGTTCGTCTGAGGTAAAAATGTAATGATCGGGGATAAGCACGATCTTTTCACGATCCCATACCTGCAACTCATACAGAGCGACTGTCAGGTTTCTGACTCAGAAAAACTTCCAACGTCAGCAACTTCTGACGAGAACAAATTCCACTAAGTTTGTCACAGGCTCAGCACGGAGATGCTATCCTAAAAAGATTGAAAAGAGCTTAGCCGTAAAGAATCTAAGTAAAAGTAAAGTTGACGCGTAAAGTCGCGAGATTTTCGAATAAATTAGGATCCCTAATTGAGGTTGACAGTTGCACGTATGTCGGTCATTGATACGAGAGAGACAAATCTCAAATAATCGCTTAAGTTACCACCATGCTCAAGTAACATACCTTAGCATTTTGACCGAATTCTTTCTTGAAGATACCAATGGTTCCAGGGCCACAAACATCATGAGTCATGAGAACATCTGCCTTCACCCACACATTCTCTCCAGGCGCAAGCTTAGTCTTTTCAGACGCATTTGCCAGAATCTTCTCCGTCGCTGTCATGGCCTGTTTCACCTGAAGCACAGAAGGGAATACGAGAGGAGTTAGCAAGTGGTACACTTCAAATATTGACAGTCGCCAAATCATAAATTGTACCCGTGATCTAGCGATATTCCTGGTGTACGAACGTCAATTCGCTGAATCAAGCCTAACGAATGACCAGCGATGCCTGACTGATACTTCCTTTTCAGCAACTGAAATGAAACGATCGATTATCTCACAATTCTTGGGCAGGCGATGTCGATCTACTTGAAACATAGAACGGAAAGTGAGTGCTCTCCACATGAACTATGTAATCTTCGAAAATGCGCACTTTTCCTGCCAATCTCACAGATGACTGGGAATAATTCACGGGTCGAGTACCCTATTCTAGACCCTAATCGCAGCTGCTTAAGTAAAATTTAGGCCACAAACTTGAAACACAGCCGATTCTAACTACCTCGCTTGCCATTACTTATTCGAAAACATTCCAACATTCCCTGTAACCATAGTTTCTTGTAAAATCGCAAATCCTCATAATTCAGTGACTTCGTCGCCAGTGAAAATTGAAGAAGGGTGTTGGGAAAAAGCAGCGGAAAAAAAAAAACAAAAAACAAAATCAAAATCCGAGTGCTATCTCTCAGCAACATCATTTCCAAAATCAGCAGAGAATTTCACACTTACAGCTCCAGTGGAGGCAGGAGAGCGCTCCTGCTTCTGGGGAGCCATTACCGCTCGCACCCGCATATCACGGTGCGCAGAGGCAACAGAAGTTTTCGGGGCAGCAGCAACGGAAACGCGGACACCGTAGAACCCTGAGCCTGATGCCAATGAGGCTCCATCTCTCTGCACAAACACAAACCAAAACACTCTGTTTACATTCTCACTATCTTCGCCCACTCATCCTGCATTCCAATTCTCCAGCTCATTGCTCCACTCCAATTCACCTCACACTCCCCTCAAAGACTTCCGCTAACACTGAATCCCAATCCACCAAACACAAAATTTTAAAAATCCATCCTCTCAACCACACACACTACACAGGTCCTTGGAAACCTAAACGGACTCGAACCGAAAACCACCGTTCACGCCACACTTTCCACAACCACTACAACTGAGAGACAAGCTGCAAGTACCAGAGCTGAGGAGATGCCGGGGTGATGCGCCACAGACACAGCGGTGGTCGCCATGGAAACCAAAACCTAAGGGAGACGGACAGTTCCTCCTCCGCAGCAGCAGCAAACACAGCAGCCAGAGTAAGAAAGGAATGTGAAGTGCGTCCCGAAGTGATGAATAAAGACCGGTGAAAAGAAGTTTGGGCGAGACCGGGAGACGAATGTGACATAAAGGGATGAGGATGAGGATGAGGAGTTACATACATTCATCCATAAAGCGGATGAAACTATAGGGGGCTTTACGACCATTGAGCTCCTCAGAGTGGTCTTGGTAAGGTGAGGCGGTTCGTGTCGTCCACAGCCCCGCCTTCCTTGATGACGTCACCCTGCCAACTGGATTTTCTCGGGGTGGGTCCACCCATGCCCACTGAACGCTCCGGGGACCTATACCCGTGGCACGATGGGCTGAGGAGGCGTGTTTCTCAAGGGGAAGTTGCCGCCCTTCAGAAGTGGGGTGAAACTTCTTCAGAAGGTGTGGGGGTGGAGGGTAATTTGTTCCTTAATATCAAACTTTGGATATTTTAGGGTTTCGATAAAACTTCATTCACAAGGAACACACACACACACAAGTGGAACAAGATATATCCAACAACTAGTAATGCCCAAAAATGTGAAATCATGTATTGTCTTCGACATAAAGGCTGTGATGGTATGAAAGAAAAAGTTACACTATTTTACAAGGGAGAAGTTAACTTTTTAGGAAGTGATAATGTAAATCATGCTATAACATTGCAATCAAGTTAAAACGATTAAAGTTCATTTTTAAAACATGCAGCTGGCTTGAGAGTGATTGAGATGATTGTAAGAATGTTATCACTTATTTTTAATGTTTGTAACATGTATTTATTTTTATCTTTATTTTTTTTAGCTTTTTCATATATTGGAAATTGAGAAGTATTTAGTCAAAACTTTTCCGTTACTTGTGTTATATACTTAAAAAATTTGAACAGTATATGGGCTATTTCTTTTTACTGTAATTAGTTTTATTCTAATTTTTCGAAATTTCTTGCAAGCTAAGAACTCCTTTAAGTTTTATTCTTTATAAATTTCAAATTTAGTCTTTATTATTACCTAAGAATTTACAAAACAAATTATGTATACTACTCTGACATTTTTTTGTTATCTTAATTTTTATTATCACTGGGATTCATTCAGTATTTTCGACATTTGCAATTGATTTCGACTCATCACCACAGTATCTATGTCAATCAACTTAATCTTAATAAAAAAATAAAAATACCACTTTAAGGTTATAGAAGTATGGAATTAAGAGTTATTTCAAGTACTATCTTTTCATGAATATCCCTAAAACGCAAAATTTCGTCTGAAGAAATACAATATTTTTATCCAAATTTATGCATGACGATATATTTACTGAAAATAAGTCTGAAAACAATAATTAATATGTTGAAATCTCAAAAAAGTGAATAATAAACAATGAATTGTTGCTGAAAAAAAAAATGTTTGTGTGAATTATGAACATATCATATAATAATAGAATTGTCTTTTTGTTTGAAACATTGACTCTTTATTAAATAATTAATTGATATATTTATATTAACATATATAATAACTATCACTCAAAAATTTGTTGTATATATTATCTTTCAAATTTGTTAAGTTGATAAAGGCTTGAAATCTTTAATACTATGTTTAACATGGCATTTGACATATTAATTATGGTTTTCACACAAATACCATTAAAAATAGGATCAAACAGAGCCAATATGATTATGTAGATATGGTCGCACATATTTATTTGAATGCATTTAAGCTAATAATCATAATAAGCAAAGCTATGTTATCATATTATTTCTAGAAGATAAAATATTTAACTATGGAATTGAGAGAATTTTGTATTTCAAACTCGAACAAAGAAAAAAAAGAAAAAAATAAAGAAGAAGAAAGTGGAATCAGTCTCGTGAAGGGGATATCTACAAGCCAACATGAGCACTGTTAGCAACGGAACAGAATTCAAACATTCTCCTAAAATATTAATTTCATAACATCTAATTAAACAACTAACCTCTCATTGGCTCTGAGGAGACACATTCTGCACAGCAGAGCATCAATCAATTCCATGCTTATATTTATCACCATCTCATTAACCGCCACCACATTCAACATCCATAAAACAAATACATCCAACATCCATCTATCCATTGTTCATTCATCCAACTCCGCGTAAGAACCCCGCCCGCCCGCCCGCCCGCCCGCCCGCCCGCCCGGTCTCATCCCTCCAATTCCGAAGGACCGCATACAGTGACCATTGGTCGGCGTCCCCGTCTTCAACATGCGAGGGAAGGGAGGCGTCATCGCAGAGAGAGTGATGAGTCTCTGTTCAATGGGATTTGGAGTCTAGATATTTTACCACCACCACACCCCCTCTACGATGGTTTCTAGGCATTGTGTTTGTGTGTGTGCGTTTTTGCAATACTCATTGTGAGAGCAATTGTTGAGCTGCTGTTAGTGACTGTTTAGGCTTTGTGAGGTCTTGGAGGAGGTGAGCGACGTTGTAGCAGCTCGTGCGAGCTTTGTGTTAGTCGGGGGTGGAGCTTTCAGTCTTCCCCTGGCAAGTAGGGTTTCAAGGTTGCTTGTAAGCCAAGCTGAGAAGTAGACAATATTAAAAAAAACCTGACGTATGAGCGTTTTACTTCGTGGATTGTTCGCGGAGATTGGTCGAGAAGTGCAATGCGCTTCGTGAGGTTGTAGCATTATGCGTCAGGTGCGTGACATGTCTGACCATGCCATGAAACTGAGAGTCGGGCTTGGAAAAGTTGATGGAAGTCTAAGTGGTGGACACCCACGAAGAGGTTCTAAGTGCTGTTTTGATGTTTGATAATTTCCTCATGGAGCTGTAGGTGGTCATAAACCTTGCTGCATTTAAAAACATGCAGTGATTGTGTCATGTGAGAAGTGTTTGGATAGTGAGAACACTTCAAGAAATTTGTCTGTTGTTTTTCTTGTTTTTTTGCTGGAAATGTTATAATTTAATGCTGTTTTGGAGATGTATTAGGCTCAAACTTGAGGTTTGATTGAGTTCTTTGAGGTCATACTGGAAATGTGACGTCGGGAATACGACATTGCCTTGCAGCTTCTGTAGTTACGCTGGAGCTTGAAAGGGTTTCCGTATGGTATACGTGATTTGATTTAACACCTTCAAACCTTAGTTGCTTTTTAGGACTCAACCGTGTCATTAATTCCGTGAAAGCAAGTTTTCTAGCTTTTCTGACATTGTGGAACGTTCTGAAAAAACGTCGCAACTTTGAATTTGTTTCCTTTCACACCCTTTTTTACAATGCCTTCCGATTATCCCTGGTCAGCTTACTAGTTTTCACCTGTGTAATCTCTCTTGTAATTTTGGTTTGGGTTGTTTTCATGAGTGCCACTGAATGAGACCATCTTGCAGTGTCTTCTCCTTCGTCGTTGCTCTTCTATTGGCGGTAATTTACTTAAACAAAGTTTCGCCGAAAGTGTTTTTGAGAAGATTGATTTTTCACTGTAATCAAGTGGGTGCTTCAAGTTGCTTGTATCGCTCTCATTGCTCGAGAGTGTGGATGATGCAACAACTATTCTTTATTATATGAATCTTTTACGATTTGAAATTACTTAATTTTAACCCGTTTTGTTATGCAATCGCCTGTGTTGTGATTACTAAAAATAAAAATAAAAAGTCCATTTTAATTGCACATCTTACAGTACTCGAAAACAAATGTATTTTCTTTTTCGAGGTGTGTTGGAGTATGTGCTTTTGAGGTTCTTGAGAAGATCTTGAGTTCTTATATTAATGCTAAGACATGTTTGGTGATGGCTCTCATTAAATGTCGATAGTGGAGCTCAATTGAGTCAATCAAGTGTTTCCCTCGACACCTGCACTAGATTTTGCATGTTGTAGGGAGGCTAGTTTTGGTCATGTTCATAACATCGTCACGAAGTCTCAGTTCAAATAGATACAAAGATAGTGGCTATATTTGACACTGGACATGAGACTTTTTGGTTACGATACATCTCACATGTTGAGCGGATTCATTATCTCAAAGGAAATGATTTTGTTTATTGAAGACTGCGACTGCTGTTGGGTGTGCGCAATGATGATTTCTTAATGCGCTCTCTATTTTCCTCGACATTGAATTTAAAGATGTCCAACCTGGTCATGGACAACTTGTGTCAAATTCTCACTGACTGGGTCGTGATTCGATAACACGCCTACACACAGGAAAGTATCAGTATCATTTCTTGAAGCGTGCACATTAGTAACTTCTGCATGAATCAAGTAAAAGTTCGCATTTCTTTTGCAGTTCTGAATTTGAAGACTTCGACGATGCTCTGAGCTTTGAAGGATTACCAGGAAGAGGCATCCTCGACTGTACGGAAGTGATTTTTGTTGATCCACATGGGGACTGGAGTAGCTGATCCGATATCGATTCTGGGGTTATTGCTTGGATTGTGCGCAGCAGTCCCTGCGTGGAGTAAGTTTCTTGTGGAGACAAGCAGTTTGACCATCACACTCCCCGAATCGCTTAAGGGAAGCTATGATTCAGCAATTGGTAATTTTGGAGTTCCCCAATATGGAGGGACCATGGCCGGAACAGTTGTTTACCCTACCAAGCAAGCTGATGGATGTACTCCTTTCTCCGAATCTTTCAGAGGTCCAAATACTGGAGGTCGTCCCGTGTTTGCGCTTCTAGATCGCGGAGGTAATATTCTCTGTTATATTTCATGTGACAAGATATTACAGTATTTTGTGGGAATGCTATCGTCCCTAGCTAGCCTTAGGGAGTCCCTGGTTAACCTTTGTCTTAGGATAACCCGTATTCAAACCTAAGGGTGCTAAAATTGAAAATCACCGAATTAATTGAGGTTTAATGTTTATGAGGCTATTTAGCAGCTAATTTAGTAAATAGACGAATCTCTAAGTCGAATGTGTTTTACTCTTTTTTTTTTCTTTTTTTTTCCTCTTTTCTTTTCTTTTCTTTTCTTTCATATCCACTTCTAAATCCATAATCACATTCAACTTGCAGAAAACATAAAATATACTTAAACCTTAATTAAAAAGAGGCTTTTCAGAGCACTCACCAACTAACATTCGATGAATTGATAAATGTTTGCAACATGTTTTGTACTAATCATTTTTATTTATTTTTTAATTCAAAAAAGTTTATCTGCTGAGAAAGAGAAAAAGAACAAAGGTATTTATACATGTGTTTATTTGTTTGGTTTTTAGTGTAAGATTGAAATTGTGTGAATATACTTGCCAAACTTGGATGCATGATTCAAATGAGTTGATTATTGGGAATTGATTTTATCCATCATCACTGTCCTTGTACATGCATTTTCCATGAATATAATTTTGGTAGTATCACTAACAATCCCCATAGAAAAACGATGCGGCAAAACTTTGATCCTCCGCTAGATGCACCTCAATTTTAAAACTTGAACTACTGCTCATGTTGATACATTAACTGATTATGCAGGATGCTATTTTGCTTTAAAGACTTGGAACGCGCAAAATGCAGGGGCAGCAGCTGTGCTTGTGGCAGATGATAAAGTGGAAACCTTGATCACCATGGACACACCTGACGAAGGAAAATACTCTGATTTGATCCAAAACATTACTATTCCTTCTGCTTTAATCGACAAAACGCTCGGTGACAGTCTAAAAAAAGTTCTTGCGTCGAATGAAATGGTGAATATCAACCTCGATTGGAGAGAGTCCCTTCCTCACCCAGATGAGAGAGTAGAGTATGAGTTTTGGACCAACAGCAATGACATATGTGGGCCAAAATGTGATGCTCAAGCTGAATTTAAAAGAGATTTCAAAGGAGTGGCTCAACTGTTAGAGAAAGGCGGCTACACCAGCTTCATTCCACATTACATCACGTGGTATTGCCCTCAGGTAATTTACCTCTGAACAATGTTCCCAACCTAAATGTACACCTTGTATTCTGTATAGTTGGAATGACATTGATTTTAGTAGCGATAATTTTATGCACGAAAGTGCTTCTAATTCATGCACGTTTGAGACTTAGATACAATAAATGTAACAATTCTTATCCTACAGGGACTTGGTTGTTTCTTGGGGTGTTACTTTGCCAAAATTAGGGATGTCCTACTCAACTACGTTCTGATAATTATGATGGAATTAGTTGTCGCATGAAACTTCGTTATGTTTTCTATGAAGTGAGGCCATCATGTATCCAAGGATTTCACTTTTGTGATAAAATATCACGTGTTTTAGGCGTTTATAGAATCCAAACAATGCAAGTCTCAATGCATCAACAAAGGCCGTTACTGCGCTCCTGATCCTGAACAAGATTTCAACAAAGGGTATCAAGGAAAAGATGTCGTATTGGAAAATCTAAGGCAATTGTGTGTTTTCAAAGTTGCCACACAAGCAAAGCGACCTTGGGTTTGGTGGGACTACGTTACAGATTTTCAAATACGTTGCCCTATGAAAAACAATTTGTACAACCAAGATTGTGCTGAGAAAGTTATTACCTCACTTTGTAAGCGCCATAACCAGCTCGCTTTGTAATGCCTGACATGAATTATTGAACTTATTTGACACACTGTAAAACATGAGATATGATCAAAGAAGATGTTGGGAAAGAGCATGGTTCAGTAACGCAAGTGTTAAGCATTCTAGTGAAAGTTCTGTTTTCGACATTTCTAGTTGATTAGAATTTTCTGACGGATACTCATTGTTATAAGCACGTTCATGATGAAATGCATATGATGAACATACCATCAATGGTTCAGCAAGTGTAGTCCATTGATTGAATACATCTGGTTTGACAAAAAGCGTTCATGTCGTGGACTACTGACACAGCATTGTTCTTGTTAAGCTTTAAGTACTTCGGATGTTCGATCATGCATGATGGATCCTGAGTTAGATGCTGATAATCCTCTACTGAAAAAGGAGCAAGATGCACAGGTTAGTATAATCAACTACCCGCATGTGAGAACAAAATGCACGTATTTTTACAAAAAAATTGAACACGCACTATGGATGTCAATTTTATTAGTTCTATTGCTGCTTAGTTTGCGCTTCTATGTCACTTCTTAATCGACGATATTTGTCTGCATGCTACATTTTCTATAGCCATTCAGATTTGGAAAGGAACATGAAAGGGCTTTGAAGACTTAAGAGTCAAGCTTTTTGTTAAATTCCCTTGGCATTTTTTGTTATCAATCTTGTTTTTTGCCATTTAATGAAAGATTTGAGTTCCCATCATACTGATTGTCGTTAGGTCTGAAGCTCATGTATTTATAAGCGATTTACAGGTTGGAACAGGCACACGTGGTGATGTCACAATTTTGCCAACATTGATCATTAACAATAGGCAGTACAGAGGTAACAAGGTTCCATGTACCAAAGCGTATTGCTCTTGCTATAATAAATAGAGTGTAAATGTATCACTCTTCTGTATATAATGCTTAATTAGGCCTTTCTACATTATTGAAAAGAAACAAAACTCTGATGTATCACAAAAACAGCTTGACGAGGATTGTATCGAGTGTGTTCAGTGCCCAATAGTTACAAGTTTTTTTTAACACTGTCATTTCAGGAAAGCTTGATAGAGCAGCGGTAATGAAAGCTATTTGCTCTGGATTTCAAGAAACCACGGATCCACCAGTGTGTTTAAGTGGAGGTAGCGCTTAACTTTGCTTATGAATTTTACAGCAATTGTAGCATCGTTCCCTTGAATGCAATACAATGTAGACGAATTGGAACATGGACATCAGACCATAATTCATCTCAAAGGTTTTGTGTCATGTTCCGAAGACATGAAAGAACTAACGAAGAAGATTTCACCATCAGAATCCACGTAGTAGTTCTGTGTGGTGCTTAAAGCTTGTTGCAGAATAAAGCGTATCAGCTGCTTGGAAAATTTTGTTAATTTTTAAGGTGTCATGGTCATAGGTATTGTGTCACGAAGAATTAATCAAATGAAGAACCGTGAGACACTGTAAAACTGTACATAAAATTGCTCCTCCGCCAGTATGGCACCGTCTTTCCTTTCAAAAATGAAGAGGTGTTCACATATTTCTCTTCAGCGACTTGTTCTCAAACTTGGCAACGGAAGCTCTCGAGTTCCTCCACTACTGTGTTTTTAAAGTTTTTTCAAATATTTTCTCTTCAGAAAGCAGACGTGCGCTCATGAAAGTATAAGGTTTCATGGCGTCACTCTTTTGCCGAAGGACTGATTCCAGGGAATGTTATGAAGCATTTTGTTCACCTTTTGCCCTCGGTGGTTGTCTAACCTCAAGCGTTTTCTTCAATGTGAAAATTACATTAACATTGGCTGGTGCAGGTGTTGAAACAAATGAATGTCTAGAACATAACGGCGGTTGTTGGGAAAACAAGAAAGCGAATATAACTGCTTGCAAAGTACAAAACTCTTTTTCACCCGATGAGTAGTATGTGTAGTGTAGGAATCCACTACTGCAAACATAAACTGATACCAATGTGTTAAATAAATACAATTTTATGCAACAGTGTTTTGCGAAGAATACTGGCTTATCATTTCGTGCTTTATTGTGCAGGACACATATAGGGGTCGAGTCTGCCAGTGTCCATTGGTGGATGGTGTGCAGTTTGAAGGTGATGGCTATACCACGTGCGAAGGTAATCTACCCTTGTTTCTGTATGTTTTGTACATTATGAGAGCTGATTCTAAAATAAACGAACCATTATCATTATCTATCGGTGTGATGTTCAGTGTGTAAATGAGAAGTATTTGTTTTTTAATTTGAATTTAATAGTTGACCTAAAAAAATAATTAAAAGTTGAAATTCGGTTTGCCTGTTCTTCTGCAGCTATGGGCTTGGGCAGGTGTAAGGTCGATAATGCTGGATGCTGGCAAGAGAAGAGAGGCGATATCACTTTTTCTGCTTGTCATGTGTGCCTCACGGATATGCTCTTGCTCGAATTTTTCGTTTTCCCTTTTCTTGAAATAGAAAGGGGCTTGTTTGAATTTTTTTTATCTGAGCTGTTTGCAATTGAATCCTTGTTTTTTCTGACAGCTTCACGTAAGGTAAATTAGATTCGTCAACGATGACCATTCATCAAGCTGTAGGCTGTACTCACTTTTTGTGTTGAAATCTGAAGACCCATCTGTCGTGGTTGCACAATACAGGAATCTCAATCCAAAGGTTGCCAGTGTCCCCGAGGCTTCCGAGGAGATGGAATCAAGGAATGCATAGGTGAGTAAATTTCTTATATTCACTGGTTGTATGTTGAGAGTCCTATGCATCCGGCCAATTCAGTTTCTACCAAAGGGATATTGACTTCAGCACTCTGCCTTAAATTTCGACATGGTGCATCTTTGTTGGTACATTTACGTGTCGTGCTCTTTTTTTCAATTTCTGAAAGTCAAGCCCAACAAGGCACTTGGGGGGAGTTTTTCACGATCATTATACATTGTAGATTACTAGTTACGTAATCCAGCAGTCGTTCTATGGGCCGTCTCTAAGTTCCAAAGAGAAACTTTCCAGTTTATCTCTTAAGTTACTAACTCAACTTGTGTGAAATTACTCCTTTTTTTTTTCTTCTTTTTTCTTCTTTTTTTTCCATCAAATTAAAATCCCACAAGAATTATTCAGTTTTGCCCTTTTCAAATGCAGATATAGACGAATGTAAAGAGAAGAGCAAATGCCAATGTCCAGAGTGTATGTGTACCAACAAGTGGGGTGACTACGACTGTGGATGTTCAAAAGATTTGCTGTACATCCGTGAACATGATACTTGCATTAGTAAGACCCCATCACATCCTTGGTAGTTCATTTGTGCCATGTCGCAGCTCTCATGACGTGAATAATTCCATTACAAGACTGTCCGTCGCCTGTACGTATTATGCTTTGCGCTTTTATTGTTTCATTTATAAACCTACTTGTTTGGCAGGTAAGAAGAGTCAATCATCAAAGCTGGGGTGGGCTGTGTCTTTGATTGTGTTTTTGGGAGTGGCTTCTCTCGGAGTTGTTGGCTACGTCGTCTACAAATACAGGCTTCGGGTATGAACTCTATCTTAAGTGATGCCTTCACTGCGACCTTTTACCACAGGTCTTGAATCATAGTGCATGGGCCTATTTTGACAACTATGCACGAATTTGTTTCAACTTGCATGTCTCCACAAATGGAGATCTCTCTTTTGTACTAGTTCGTAAAGTGCTTGAACTTATTTGATTAACGGATTTAGCTTGTCGGTGCTGTGGAACAGTCATACATGGACTCGGAGATAAGGGCAATAATGGCGCAGTACATGCCACTCGACAGCTCAAGTGAAGTTAATCACCATCTGACCGAGGAAGCGTAAAGACAAAGGTCTCTCACCTCTGGCTCTAAGTGGGCATGCTGATTGTTCACTTACACATCGATTGAAATTTGAAATCCTTGGTAGAACCCTTTATCAGCTTCCAAAAATGAACCGCCCATTATCGAACTTCTGAAGAGCACTTTGATCCTTAGTTTGGGCTTTTCTCCTGGTTCCGTGCTAACTGTTTATCCTCTGCTTCAGTGTAGACGGGGCAAAAAATAAGGTCGGTGCTTCTTTTCATCACTACGCACCAATGGTTGCTCCGTCAAGCTTGGAAAATAGAAGGAAATGTGGCATAGTGCAATGTCATATGTAACAGAGTTCTGAAACATGCGAGGGAGCATCACAATCAACCAGGCTACATGATCATAAAAGGGTATGTATTTGAGCGAGGAAAGGTAGCATAAGTTAAACAAGAGAATAGCAATTACGGTATCTAATTCTGCAGCTATAAATGACTATTCCGAAGACAAAATGTTACAACAGAATATAGTGGACTCGACTGTAGTGCTAGTTTACTGGATTAGGCCCCGATTATATATGACGAACTGTGGACCACAGTAATTTTGTAACCGACAGTGATCATTATTTCCTGTACATGACAACTGGTTTAACAGATAAGTTCTGCAATAGCAGGATCCTACATTGTGCAGACTTCTGCAAGGAGAAAAGGAATGTTGCAATGAGTTAAGAGTAACACAAAACCTTTGACCAAGCAATTAATGTTCACTTCGGAATAGTAAAACATTGATTGTTGCAAGTTCATCAATAACCAATTCTTAATGGATTTGGAAACTTATCATTAAGTATAGTTTGATTGATCACTAGCTTTGATGGAGGCAGTGGTGTAAATAATCCAATGGTTGAATAATGTGAAGGAAGGGCTTGTGACATAGTGAAGTGGTGTTTATAATCCAACAGATGAATAATGTGAAAGGATGGCTTGTGATTAGTTAGATATTTTTATTTAGTTGTGTTGGAGTTTAAAGATGTGTTATACAAAACTGCCTAGGAATTTTTAGGATCCTTTGACATCTTTACAATATAGAGGTTGTATATTGACAAATACTAGCATATCTACAAATTATTGTTTGTCTAGAAATGCATTCTTCACACGTAATTTTGAAAATATTTATTGTAATTTATTTATATTTGATAAGAGAGGAAAATAAGAAAATAAATTAAATACAAAATATAAAATGTACATATAGAGAGAGAAAGAGAGATTAAGACCATTCAACAAGCTAAGCAATTAATAAATACTAAAAATAATTATATTGAGCATTAGAAATATTTATCATAGATAGACTATAATATCACAATATCATTATAAACATCATAAAAATTTGACATATGATCACCAATGTTTTTGAAATACTAGTATTCATAATTTTTTTAAATATCTCAAGATTTTAAAAAAGAAAAAATTACATGATAAGAATTTACTAGATTTGATAGTTAATCTTTTATTAAATAGATTTCAATAAATGAGAAAACTTTAGAGACAAACACCAATTTTTAACACAAAGTATATATATATATATATATATATATATATGTTTATACATACATACATACATACTTATAAATATTCATACATACATACATACATATATATACATACATACATACATACATACATACATACATACATACATACATATTAAGAAAAAATTGTTTATTTAAGTATTATAATTTAATATTTAACTCTTTAACTCTTTGATTTAAAATATTATTTTTCTTATTTAATAAAATCTACATTAAAAAATGTAACAAGATTTGACCAAATTCAACTTAAAATTCTAATCAAGTCAATAATTGTATTGATTAGTAGTTGTTGCATGAATTATAAATACAGAGTTCTTTTTTCTAATAAACAAACTATTGTAAAGCTTAAAACATAATTGAAGTTACCTCAAAAAATATATTGTATAACTGCTTATTAAAATAATCAATTTTTTTTAATAGATTTACTTAAAAAAATTAATGCTATAAAATTTTAGAATCTTGTAGAATGTTACATCAATGGCATAAATTTTAAAAATTATTAATACATCAAAGTTTTCTTATTTTTATATATCATCCATGAAAAAAAAAATATACACAATATGTCATTATGAAAAATCAATGCAAAAATAATATTTTAAAAAAATCCATATTTTTACAAATCTTTTTTAAAATCTAGTGATTTTTTAATATATATCTTAATTTAAGTATCCATTACATAAGACATAATCATGATTTTAATAGATTTTTATGTATAATTTTATTTTAATAGAGATGAGGATAAAACTTCTTCTATGATATTATTTATATTATAGAAATAAAAATTTATAGATAGATAAAATTTTGTTATAGTCTTTGAATCTTTTATACTAAAGATTACTACTAACCTCCATGCATGTTTCAAAGATCATTGTCCATTGACCATTACTTTAATAGAAATATTTGTATATAAATCACAAATTGTAAGTAATGTTGTACACCTCTAAATTATTCCCTTAGAACTTGATATTGTCTCTTTTTTTATATTATTTCTCACCTATTAACTTGATTCTATGATTATAAATTAAATTTGTATTTTTTTAAACTTACTATTCCAAATAAAAAATATTAAGTTGCAAAGATTTTCTTTCATAAGAAACATAATAGATAGCAATACATAAGCCAATTATTTAATATGTATTGTTTGGATTTAGATCACAAATATAATGGTACAAACTTCATACATCTTAACACAAAGAAAAATAGGTAAATTTGGTAGGAACAAGGAGCATAATGGCATTGTAAAGGATAGCAAGTTTTTCTCAGATTGAGAATTCAACTTCCAACTCTTTCATCTCATTTCCATTGGCTTCTTCTTTAAATTTGCATTTTGGTGCAACAAGTGCCATCAACTCCTCGTCTAACAATTCTATATATATTGCGTCAACTTCTTCATTAAGTTTGAAGATGCCATCAATTGACATAAGATTTGTTATGCATAGTATTTTAATTACTATTTCTTTTATTACTTATTCATTTGCAATATTGATTGGTTCAAATAAAATGGCTTCTATATTGTCATTTGTATCATATTCACTACCAAAAAAAACTAATAAATAGGAAATACTTGAGAATAGTAATTACAAAAATCTTATTTCATGTAACTTTAATTTATTATATCACAATGTCCTAATTGTATTTGTAAATGTCATGCATGCTAACCTCATCCTTGCCAATTATGCATTGCATTTAGAAGCAATAATAGGAGCTCTTGAAAGAAGAAATGATGTTGTTATCTAAAAATTAAATGTTAAGTATAAGAACTTAAAGAATGTAATTAAATAGGAGAGATATGTCTCAAAGATAGATGATATAAAAGGAATGAAAAATTATGTATATTTAAGAAGAAACTAAAATAGCTATTCTCAAAAAAAAAAAAAAAAAAAAAAACTATAGGCTCTTGAAACTAAATTAGAAGCAAGAAAAGAATTAATAAGAATGAAGAAGATTTTACTCTTGCCTTTGTATATACTATCTAACTAAGAGCTAGATGGCGATGTTCTATTGGACATCTAACATATGTCCAACTTATAAGACACATGACTAACTTGTAAGGCAAGTTTTCTATATGCATGCTACATGTCCAACTTATACCACAATTGGCTAATTTGCTAGCTAAGTTTTCAACCTATAAATTACTTATAGACAAGTATAAAGTCAAATTTGTATCTATGAAGCTTATAAGAAGCTTGTCCACAAGATATTATATAATTTACCTACTTTTATTTATTTCTACATAATTCTTCTTATCTAAATAATTACTAGTTTTGATTGTATGCATGGGATTAGATCTTAGAAGTTGTGTTTAGAAGCAACATACACATATGTACATAAGTGAGGAAGAAGTCACTAATGCCATGCAAATATGCATTATATAAAAAGAAGAGGATATAACAATTAATACCTATCATTTTCTTGACTTAGGTTCTTAGCTATTTGTAAAAAAATAATAGCAACCATCCAAGCCTTTTGGTTGTAGTAATAGTAAAAGTCAAATTGTTCATCAATTCTTTTTTTAAAACAAAATGGTTTATTAGCATGATTGATCATTGATTGCTTTAAGTTATTGTATTTGTTTGTATTGATTGTAAATGCTATGATAAATTATATCTTATTTTTTTTTAATATTATAATTTAACATTGCAAGATGGTGTAATCTATCACCATTAAATAGAAGAGACTACTCTCATACATATTTTAAGTCTCTTAGATGGAATATGTTAATGCTTTTGCTTGTAGACTTGAAAATTGATTAATAATGGTAATATTATGAGTAGAGCTATTTTTTCCATGTGACTTGTGCTTTTTTAAGCTATGGTACTACTTAAACTTCTATAAATAATCATTAAAGAAGATTGGCACATTATTGCTTAGTCTAAATAATGTAGCAAGAAATCTAGCATTTTTCTTAATTAAGTCAATTGAAATACAAATGCAATAATCCTTGTATTGGAGTACCTAAAGTATCAATACTTTATTAAGATGTGAACTAGTAACAATGCTTTATCTTTTAGCATTGGACTATATACAATTGGTATCCTCAAATGAATGTCTCTTTGTTAGAAGATTAATAATTGTCCCTTGAAAGGGCACTTTTAGAAGGGTGAATGTCTTTGTGGGCCAAACATAAAGAAACTTCTTGCTTATTGATAGTTAAGCTTAATTTAAATTCCAAAGATCTTGTTTTTGGACATTCATCATTGTTACAAGTGAACACCTCAAAGAATTTGTATTGCCTAAAGATGAAGTTATAACAAGCAAGTCAATTGCTAAGATGGATTTTTCTTAGACTTTGAGTCCCTTACTATTGCTAAGATTATATATTTTTTCTTGCCTCTAATTCTAATCCTTCAAACTTGATATTATTGACCTCCTCCTCATTAAGATGGATGTGAGCATGATGCCTCTAAATACAACTTGCTAGATCCAATCCATAAATGTGAGCATCATTATTACCTTCATACACTACTATCATTGCTTCTACCTACAACATATAATTAACAATGAGGTTGATAAGTGCAACATCTACAAAGTTTTAGGTCATTTGTTAGCTAATTATTGTATTAAGTTTAAAGAACTTTAGAACTTGATAACCTCTACTATTTAATTAACTTCTCAACTAATGATTGCATCAACTTGGAGAGATACAATTGTACATACTTGAATACTAATTGTCCAAGTTCTTGGATTAATATTGTTAGTTCTCTAATAACATTATCATTACTATTATAAAATAAATCTATATGCTTGTGAATGTGTTTTTTGTATTATTTTTATTTGTTAATGAACCAATACAAACTTATGATATTAGATTAACAACAAGATCTTTAAATATGTGTATATGTGTGTAGGTATGAAGAATGTTAGTTGTGCAATTGTGGAAACATTGAAGCCTGTATGCTTTTTGAATAAAACCCAGCAACTCCAAAATTCAGTGCATCAATGCTATTCACAAAGCTCACCACTCCTCTAACCCTTCCCCTCTTAATAAATCACAACAGAAGCCAAAATAATAATAATAATAATTTAATAGCATTTATGCATATAAAACATTTATAACACAAAATAAAAGTGACAACCATGAAATTACTATGCCTGTGTGAATGAGGTTGCAATCTGATGCCAGCCTTCAAAACTTCAGATTTGAAATTTTGCTGTTCAGAATTACTGCAAATGAGCCCATTTACATGCGCCCTTCATGCTGCTCTCTCTTAGATAGCTTTTATTGCACGTTTGTCCAGACCTGCTATTCTCACTGTACCATGGAAGAATAGTGCAAATCAGGGTTACGGCATTGTGGGCTTGTTACGGAATTACTAGCCCAAGTCATGAAAACCAGGCACTTCGCTTTGTCTCCTGAAAAATGACTTATTTGCCAAGAAAATATGTAGTACACATTTAGCTCCCAAATTTGAATGCGATCCAATAATAAACACCTAAGGAATGTTAGCAGTTGAAGCATTGTAGAACCAGATTGTAGGACCATTGCAAAAAGCCACAGAAAGCAGATAGCAAACTGATTCACACAGACTTTTATCATAATAGACAGGCGAGAAAGTCAGCCGGAGCGAGACTTTTTCATTTCATGCAGTGACAAATAATAGGTCATAAACCATACTTCGGTAACAAGGGAGTTTCGTTCCAACACCGAGGAGGTAGCAAGACCAATACTACGTCTAGATTAACAACCCCCCAACCCCCTACAGCAAAAGAAAAAGTAGAATTTTGACCGAGAGAGCAGGCCATTCAGGCGGGGTCTCCCATTTCGTGCCTTGATGAATGATTCAAGACCAGGGCAATGACTGGTCTTGTGTATACATACAAATACAATGACATAAAACCTACTGGTCTTCTCCCGACAATTCTGAGTCGGATGTTGAGATCAATGAAGCCATGCCATGAAGGTGCCCATTGACGCACACAAAGTAGTCCACATTATCTTTGTAGGCTCCAAGCCTTTGAATCGCGCTTGGAGGAACAAGTTGCGCCCCTGTCATACTCCAGACCTAAATGGACAAACAAATTTCTCCGTCAGTTTTCAATCATGGATCTTCACGAGTACTAGCAACTCTCATCATTAAAATTATATATGTACACAGTAGCAGGTACTTGTACTGAGGCGCACGGGCTCTTTTTTACTCTTAATATTTACAAAGAATGTTCCAGAAAGATTGCGAAGCCTTTCATCTTCGACCATCAAGACGGCAAGGTCAATTAACAATACAATAAAAAGCATGTTCAATACATACAGGAGATTGTTGGACTACAGAACTGAAGGGAACTACATTATGAATGGTACTGTAGGATTGTAAAGCGATAACCCCTAGTTAACAAGTATAAATGACGTAGAGAGAAAAACTTGCACATGCCAGACGAAGACGAACAATTGTATTTTTATTAAAATGAATCAACCACTATCCTGAGAAAATTACCGCAGTAAAAGTCAGGATTTCTACGAATTGATTGCATAATAAAACTATGTCGCTAGTGGGAAAAATCATGTTATTCTTTGTCCATTTATAAAACAATTGGGAAAGCGCAGGTAAGATTGTACCTTTTCACGACAGAAAGGACAGAACTCAGTCTCCTCCAAATCCACTCGATTTTCAATCAGCAACCGGCGCGTCTTGGACGTTCCAAAGGCACGAAAAACTCCTCGGTAAACACCCAGATCGTCATCGTCTCCATTGTCTAGATGCTCGCAGCAATCAGAAATGTAAAGAGTGTCCGATCGACACTGAATAGGCAAGAAACTCTTTCCTGACGTCCTGGAGAACCTTGATTTCCACACAAAGTGTCCTGGGATGGTCTTGGAATAAAAATGTTTACTCTGGTGGCTCCCGGGGCAGCTGAACATGAGCTTCCCGAGCGGCTGCCACCCCCCAGCAATAGTGCCGCCTTGACCTCCAGCGCCACTCAGCAAATGCGAAACCATCTTGGGCGCCCGGGAGAGACAAAACTCCTTCCAAATCACCTTCTTCATCACATCCGCAAACCGCTTGCAGACCAATGTATACTGGCAAATGAGAAACGGATTCCAGTTCATGGACTTGAACACCAAGTATAGCACCTTCTCGTCCAACAATCCCACGCCTCCATTACTCCCCGATTCTGTACCCCCAGCCTGCACCCCACTGGCTCCATCCTGCACATCCCCGAGCCTCTGCCGAGTCGACCGTGCTAGCATGATGCGCGATGCCGCACCTCCTCCCTTGTGCAAACAACTCATTCATATGGAGCTGACGCTACAACTCCTCTCTGCTCCACCACTACTACTTTTCACCATCCCACCTTTACCACCCGTTTAGATGCTATTAGAGGCCTGTAAGAATCTAACAGCAGCTAGTAAGTTTACAAAATGGTCCAACACTAGTTGATTTTCTTGGCTTGCTTATAGAACATCTGCAGAGCAACCCAGAACAACTACTTAGTGTCAGTGTTAGCAACTTCAAGCTATCTTTCCTAATACATTCTTAGTGTAGAACTGAGTAAAAAATGGAACCGCAATCAGACATATCAAACACAAGGATATGGGATTTACGCTCACTTAAAGTCCATGAAAACATATAGCATTCCGATCGACTTCCAACAATTTCACTTCGTGTGAGACCTCCAATTAGACCCGAATTTTACGAAGTATCAATGGCACAAATATGAAAACGGCGCTTGCATCAACCTGGAGAGAAGATAAAGGATGTACAACTCAAACTCACTTCCAACCAACCGCATGCATAAAAGCTCCTTTTCCAGTTCACCAACTGAATAATCCGGGGCATGTCAGACCCGAGACTTGTAATTACCAGCGCACTATTACAATTAAGCGGATGCCGTGGCTGCACATGACAATAATAGATCTGACTATATGACATGTTCGCAATAACCGCTGGACTTGGACACTATGCAATGTAATTTCTCTACAAGTAAACCCAAGTTCGAGCTCAGAGAGAGAAGACGTAGTTCTCAAAGTACAAATTCTGTGAGGGAAAAATAATACTAGTGATTTTTTAAAAAAAAAACAAATTTTAAGATCTACACAGTAAAATAGATTTTCGATAAAACATTATCCACCTCCTTCGTAAAGACCCCAAACTCAATTGGGAATTATAACCTAAAAAAAATCAGGCGAGCGGCCTGTAATACTGCCAAAACCGGCTCATTCACCTCCCATTAGTGCTTTTCCTCTACCGAAAGTGTGCAGATATAACGTAGCTCGCAGTTCAGAAGAAATGAGTCTATAACATAAGAAGAAGATGAAGTACAGTAACCAAAAAGGGGTATCCACCAATAGAAAAACTGCAATGGAACGGAAACTCGAAACAAATGTAGCGCTTAAGGATTAATACTCTATTCTCTACGCACCGAGAATTCAATCAAATTCAAGCTTCATAGACAGATTCTCCAATGAACTTGTAAACATGGCGCAGATCTTGAGGGTCATGTATCGTCGCGTAAACAGGCCAAACTATTCAGTCATCTCTGCGTTCTAGAATCTTCTCTGTCCACTATGTTCCATCCTTGTCAAGCCTGTACATCTGAGTTTCCATTTACACCTTAAACAAAGCTAACTCAAAGCTGGAAACAGACAACACTGTCTGAAAAGGCTAACATGCTAAGTGTACCAGAAGTGCAGATTATGATCTCAATATCAAGAAAAGTCATTCAGAGCGAAACCTAAAACTATCCTGCCCCGAATCAGGATTAAATCCGATTTTGCCCACTAAAACAAGCGAAATGAACCTTCTTCTATTATCCTTTGCCCCTCCAAAGTTATCTTCTTACTAGTTGATGTCCATCAGGGAGCAAAAGATATTGGGTAAACGCAAAAAATAGAGCGAAGTGAAGCAGACATATGTTTCAGGAACTAAAATCCACTGCAAACACAACAGAAAGACAAACAAACCCACACGTCCTGGACAAGTTGACTAACCTTGTGAAGCTGACAAAACTGCTGAAGATTGTTCCTCAGCCTCAAGCAAAACTTCTGGCGCTACTGCTTTTCACCATAGATTGGCAGTACCTTCAGCATAACTCACTGCTCAAGTATTCTAGTCAGACGAGATCCGAGTAACGTCCGGTCAGGTGCAAATTACAGTAGCAAAGACCTATACGTAGGCAGCATCCAGGAACGCCGTATTTCACGTCTTCCTCAGCTCTTCAGCGATTCTGTTGCTTCCCCCATCCTCTTCCAACCACTCCCCTGCACATCAACCTCAGCTCATACCCTCCGCACTCGGCTCCCTCGTTCCTATCTCTCTTCCCGAGCCTCCCCTTCTCCCGATTCACCATAGCTCAAAACTGCCCACAGCTCCAACACTCCCACCTCAAGCCTTCTATCAACACCCCACTGCCACCATTGCACTCTCCCCCGAAATTCGCCCCGTTCCTCCAGGCCCTCCTCTAAATCCCAACGTCGACACACACACACACAGACTCCGCACCGCCCGCGGCTTCTTCTCCGACCAAGCCAATCACTCACGACGACGCGCCCTGGCCACCACCTCTGCCGTGCTCTCGTTCTCTCACTCTCTCGTTCTCTCTCCCTCTCTCTCTCCACCTTCCTCTCTGAACACTAAAGCTCCACCTGTGCTCAAAGATTTCCTCGCATTGACACCAGGAGCGACGCAACAACTCAGAAAGTAGGGTTGTGAGCACGAGGGTGGCGTCGATCCAAGACTGTGAAGACTATTGTCGAAGAAACGAAGAGACCCAACAGCCCTGTCCCGGCCGCAGGCACAAGTCACACCCTCTCTAGTCTTCTCTCTTTTTCTTTTCTTTTTTTTTTTTTTTTTCTTTTTGTCTTTTCTTCTTCCTTCCCTTGGTCTGTCTGCAAACCTGGTGGATGGCAAAGTCCACACGAACAAAGCAAGAACAGACACACACACACAGACTCACACACAGCGAGAGGGGAGAGAAGCAGAGATGGGGAGGGGGGGGGGAGGGGAGGGGAGGTAGTGGGATTGGCACTACTGGGGTGGGATAGTAAAGAAGTTCATGCCTTCAGTTCGTGGGGCAGTGGGCAGCAAGCAGTGAGGGGAGGTAGAAAGAAGACGAGGAGGATGAAGAGGAGGAGGAGGAGAGAAAGAAAGGGAGAGCAGGGAGAGAGGGAGTCGCGAGGAGGAAGAGGAGGAGGAATCTCGTTTAATGATGCGGATGCCCCATTGCTTGCTTCCTTCCTTCCTTCCTTCCCTTCCTCTAACTTTTTGTTTCATTTTCCTGATGGCTCTCGATCTCTCTCGCTCGATCCAGATCTTGATCTCTCTCACTCTCTCTATGCTCTTTCTCTTTGTCTTTGTCTCTCTCACTCTCTCGCCAATTTCCGGTGATTGATTGACTGGGTCGTCGCTGAGACTGGGTCCTCCAATTGCCATCCATCGCCCCCGAGGATCCTTCGATTGCAGCGAAGGCGATGACGACGATAACGATGATGACGACGATTCTCACCCCCCTCTCACTTTACTTTACGCTCTTCACTTTACATGTTCTCGTTTACTATATACATTTATCCATTGTCGCTAAGCAGGCTTCCTATTGGTCATTGTGGACGAAGATCGGCATTGATTTCGGGGCGAATTGTTCATGCGTTCAGTTTTTGAGGGATTGAAGGTCGTGAGTTCGTATTCGATTGCTGACAATTTTGGTGAGGGGACTTTGGTAAATGGCGCAGATATTATTGAAGGCGGAGGGTATTGAGTCTTCTTACAGATGTGATTCCTTTCAAAGCTTAACGGGTCTTCTTCATTTCGGTTAGCGATCAGGCTGAACTTGTTTGAGTTTTAAGAGTTTATGTGCAATTGGCTATTTTATTCCCTGTTGTCATGACTTGGTTTTGAATGTGTTTCAACATGTAGTTAAAATCAAATTTTATAAAGAAACTGAATTTAAAGTTTATGTGTGTGAATTTTTGTGTTTTACAATCTGTAATTTTTTTTGACGTGAACTTTTATTTATTTATTTATGGGTTTTTCAAGGCAGTGCTTTGAATTTAATTGTTTTTTGTGGTTTTTATTCCTTTTTAATCCTTTCTGTATGTTGAATTATTGTGTGATTTTTAAAATACAGCAATTAGTTGAAAATACATGACATTGTTCTACACAATCAATTTACCTTATATCACTGAAGTCAAGATTACATTTTGGTGAAAACTTATACTTTTTACTTGCAGCTTTTTGACCAAAAATGAATGCTCTATATACTGGTTAATAAAAACAATTACATTATAATAATATTCTCTGTTTTGTTGTGCAACATCAAAACCCATAAATCATTATTTCAATATATAAAATAGGATTCCATGTTGTTTTGCAAATCTAGAATGCATTATTACTTGTGGTATTTAAATATATATTAATTTAATACTCCTAAAAAAATAACAATTGTGAATGACTTTTATTGAAAATATATAATAAATTTCATACATCCACTATAGACTTTTTGTAGAGAATGTAGATAAAAAAAGTGGAATCATATATTTCGAACATAAGATAAGTTGACAAAAGACAAAACATATATTTATATATTCATATGGAGACCACTGAATCAAGGCATTTTATAACCTTGTCAACCTTCTTTTCATGATGTTATTAATAATTCGATGCTTTCAAAAGCAATAATTCAATAAACAATGCTTACAGTTTTAACGTAGAAAAAAAAAAAAAAAAAAAAAAAAAAAAAACACATAAGTTTGTAAGATCTGTCTTTCATATTTTAAAAGAATTTGAAAATAAACTACCGTCATTGCTATTTAACTAAAGCAATTTGTGATTACCTTTGTGGTTTGCAAACTCAGAAAGGTTCTTTTACTGAAAAATCTCCATGCAAGAATAAAGGCCAATTGCTTGAAAATAAAAAAAAAAAAAAAAAACAAGTTTGACAAATTTTAGAAAGAGATTTGTAAATTTGAGCATCTAACATCAAGAAGAAAATCAAACAAATACAGTATTTTTAAAACCAATCTAGAATTTACTCCAAGATTCAATAAAACCATTGATATAGCATATAAATTTACCATGCATAAAAACATGGTTAATATACGAATCAAAAGCAAGCTAGTGTAATTTAAAATGCAAAAGTAGGAAAAATAACACAAAAGAATTTCGAATAATTGTGATTTTTTTAGAGTGTTAAAATTTTTTAAAACTAAATATAATCCACAAGAAGCATACAGGATAGAACAAAATTAAACTTAAGTGCCATAAGTTGTAGAGTGATTAAAAGTCATAAGAGAAAACTAACTATGTATATTTTGGTGATTAATAAATGTAACCTTTTAAATTTACAGTCTATTTAAATTCTTTTCATCTCAACAAAATTATAATATTCTTGAAACATAATCATTAAATATTACAATATTTTTTTTTCCAGTTTCAGAAATTAAGCTATGTATTTAAAGGTATTTTAAAAACCATACAAATAGAATGGAATAAAAAAATGAGAAAAAACAAACACAGAAACAAAGCAAAACAAACCTTTTTGTACAAAATATTGTTGATTTTACAAAGTCAAAAGCATTGTACATTTACAGAATCTACTACAAATACATTTCAGACTTTAGAGTTCAAATAAAATTCTAATAATGAAAAATGACTTAAGTAAGTTTAGATGCAATAATCTCAATTTTGTCAAATAAAAATTCTGTTATTTAAATACAAAGTCTTCAATATTAATAATAATAATAATAATAATAATAACAAAAGAAACTATGGGTTACCAAAAATTGTTAAGTTGATTCTACTCTCTAGGTTTACATGAAGTTTTTAAAATTTGGTATTACACCCAAAAGTTTTAGAGCAAGTAATATTTAATACACTGTGTTTTTTTATTGAAAGACGATCTAAAATAGAGAGCAAAAAATAATTTTGCAGTTAATAGTGTAAAACCATGTAACACCAGTATGTATACTATGTAAAGAGAACCTTTTTCTTGAAGAGTTGGAGTTTAACATAAAGAATTCAAAAAACCAATAAAACTTTACTATGCGAAAAAATAGTTGTACAATTAATGTAAAATATGCATGAATGCATATATTTTTTAATAAACTGTTTGATTTTTTTTTATTTTTATGATAGTACTTTAATTATTCAGGAAACCTTTCAAGTAATTTAAAATAAATGTTTTATCCACATATGGAAAAAACTAATTATAGTAATCAATAACACCTACTTTGAATTCAATGTGTTGAGCTGAATGATTGAAGTAGACAATTTTAATTGCTTGACATTGATAGAATATATAAATAAAAATGAGATGTTATTGAAATTTTAAAAAAGTTGATGCATTTTAATAAAGTAGCCTCTTCAAAAGGCACATAGTGTAAAGTATACATGTTTATATACTTATAGATTAAAGATTGCATAAAAGAGAATATTTTTTACACTTAACTTCAAAGTATTCTTTACTGATATATATATATATATATATATATGTATATATATATAGGTTAAATAAAATTTAAAGAAATTTTACCAAATAAATCTTGCCAGACTTGGTAACTATGATTTCTACTAGTTTCTATTTACACTCAGTGACATTGCAACTATGTTTCTCTACCTAGTAAACCATTTCTTAAGTAGGAACATACTCTCTCTCTCTCTCTCTCTCTATATATATATATATATATATCTCTGAGTTTAGTAAATGATTCGTTCAGAAGAGGTAAATTAGATGTAATATTTTATGGAAAAAAAATATGCAAATTTTAACCCACCAAATTTGTAAATAAATAATAATAATAATAATTTTATTCATGATAGGCATTCCAAATAATTTTTTACATTTTAGGGTTATTTCAATTTAATAATTTTTTGGTGTCTTTATTTGTAGCTGACCTTATTTTAGGTCAAACTTCATTTTGGTATTAATTGTACACTTCATCAACAACAGCATCAACAAAACATAAAAAAGATAATAATATTAATAATATTAATAATACACATTGTGAATCTGTCTTGTATTTTTTTCACTCTTATAAATAAATACATGAAAAAGGTGAAACTAACACTTGGACTCAGAAAAATATGTTGCACAAATCCAAATATAATTTTTCGAGAATACGAATGTTTACTTTCACAAACTGCGGGCGGAAACAGGGGTTGCAAGTGGGTGGGGGATGAGGTGGGAGCAACGGGAACATGGGCTCCGCCGACATAGCGACAGTACAGGTGGACGACCCAGAATGGAGGCGACCCCGTCTGCGCTGCCAAGTCAGCATCGAATCCCGCTCTTTCAGGCATGTCCGTATATCCATCCACTTTTCATTCATTTCCAGCGTGGCGGATGATAACATCCGTTCGAGCTGAGTTGGTGGAATCCTAGCTGGCAACATGGCTGCGTTGATTCTCATGACTTGGTTTGATTGGCTCTCCAATCACACAATTCGCTATAGTTAAGATGTTATCCATTAACTATTATTTCTAGATATAAATGTTTATTAGTATGTATGAGTAAAAATGGATTATATCTTCATGATGGAAAGTTAGCTATTTTAAACGTTGTGGCTGGAAGTAAAGATATGCAAAGTGTAAAACTAAATTAGTGATGAGATTATATATTTTAGTGATGAGGTTGTGTGACTTTTTTAAAAGTGGCTTGTGACCAGTTGGGCATGCAGGTTACAATTGATTGGTTGGACTACTTTGATAGTGTGTACTACATGGACAATCAGCATGTGATCATAGTACCTATTTTGTACGAAAAAAGAATAAAAGACAAATAAAATAATAAACTTAGTGTTAGAAAAAAACACTTGTCAAAACTTTTTTTTTTCTTTTTGCTTTTTCGTATTTTTATTATTACCGTTGTTTTTAACCAAATTCGAAATTCTCAAATACTTAAAGTTTTCAAAAACAATTGTACAATTAAGTACAGCCTCTACACAAAATACTGGTGAATATTGAGTTAGGAATTTATGATTTTTTTTTTTTTTTTTTATAAAAAAAACAGAGCCAAAAAGGAACAAGAACTAATCCCACTCAAACCCAAAAAGGTCAAAAAAACTCTGCTCACTCATATGATGAATAGTTTTAGAGTAAATTTTATGATCAATGGTTCAAGTTTCCTCCAACAACTGCATGTTTACATGTATACACACACACACACACATATATATATATATATATATATATACACACAAGATTTTTCCTCTCATTTTGAATTTTAA